AGCTTTAGAACTTTAGAGTGTGAGAGTTTGGGAGATCTGGGGTTGAGGGTTTGGGATATTGGAGCCGGGCCCACACTACGCAGAAAACGGCTTGGAAGACTCGGCATCAATCCCCAGTCTCGGCATCCTAACCCCAACATGGCCCAAACCCCAACATGACCCAGAAGACCGAAGTTTGACATCTTCATCTCAGAGGCAGACAGTAAACTCGGCGTTCGGGCCGTAGCCTGGCCAGGAAAGCTGCTGGAACTGCATGGGGATCTGGAGTTTAGTATGGGGGCCTTACTACTCAGAATAGGGCTTTGGGGGCCGATTATGCCATAATCATAATAACGACCCCATATAGGTAATCAATAAGGCCCCTATTTTAGGTGGGAGGCGCTTGGGTGTTTAGGGTTGCAGCAATCGGAGTGAAGGGGGTGGCTGTACTGTTGAGAGTCTAAGTCTTAGGGTTCGGGTGCTGGGGAGTTGGGGTGTTGTAGATTTTGTAGATCCTGAACCCTCAAAAACCTCGAACACCCTCGTTCATGATGCCTGCCGCTGGCACTGCGGAGGTCATCGGCGCGGCGGCGTAGTGCGCCGGCACCCGGGCGGGCAGGAGCCGCCTTGGAAGGGCTTGGTTGCTTCTAGAGAGATTTAAGTTTGCGTATTTCGGGTTTAGGGGTTTTATTTAGGGGTTCTAGGAAACTAATATTCTGTTTAGGACCCTGGGTTTGGGCTTTACGGCTGTAAAAGGTTTTCCAAAGGGGCGTTTCCAGACACCCAGCCTCCCTACAACCTCTTGCAACCCTCAGCTTTTCAGAAAGGTAGCTCTAAAGAGACGTTCTTCGGGGCTTTATCAGGGCATTCTTTAAGAGGCTGCGCCGTAAGCCCAGGAAGCTGCAAACTCGAAGCTGAAAGCCAGGGAAGCCCCTTTCCTGGGACCCCGGCTGGCTGCTCTGCTGCTGATCCTGATGAAAGGCCGCAATCCTCGACAGTTCAACAGTGCTGCACTGCGGGCTTCGGGGATATAAGGGATATAGGCTGTGCATGGGGCTGTTACAGTTGGTTTCAGGGCGCTAGATAGAATAACACTGAAGTTTGTAGGCGTGTAGTCTAGGGGCCATAAGAGTCAGAAAAAGCTTTGCTTGTTTTGCTACAGTAGACTTTTAATCAGAACCCTGAGGAGCAATGTTCGTAACCACTCTTCAATATTATAGTCAAAGCTTGCAGGGTTCAGGTCGAGGATTAGCTCGAGCTTAGCATCTGCGCATCGTCAAGGTCGTCTGAGCCCCCCTATAGGGCCATGCAGCAAAATACCTTTAGCTACCGAAGCCTACTGTTTTGTAGGGTCCCTATAAATTCTAGATTAGGTTTTACAATCAGGATCTACCAAACAAGTAGACCTCTAGAAATTCTAAACGATCGGGTTTGTGATGAGCACCCAAAGAAGTAGGCTCTGACAGTTATTATAGTCATTATGGTTGTTAGAGTAATTATAGTTATGATAGTTCGTATAGTTATGATGGCTGTTTAAATCAAGGTAGTTCATTACTATAGTTATTTGTTATTATGGTTACTATAGTCATCATGGCTCTTATAGTTAAGGGTAGGCCTGGTTTGGCTACGAGGACCGGGAGCCCGGGCATCTCGGCGCAGGTCTCGCGACCCTCCTCTGGCGAGGAGCAGCCTGAACCCAAGGGGATCGCTCGCTGCAAGGGCTTTTGCAAGGCTTGTAGGGTTTAGGGCTTAAAGGGTTTAGTGTTTTTTTTTTAAGTGCAATGGGGCCTTTTTCTGCAGAAAGGTCCGGCCGAGTTTCGGCCTACACTCACACAGATCCTCCTCGCTCACTAGTGTTTAGGGTTTAGGGTATAGCGCTTCAAGGGCCTTCTAGAGGATCTAGGGCTCAGGGTTTAGGCTTGCGGAGTCTTGGGTCAAGGTTTTTACAGAAACCATACTGCGTGGGAGTTTTGTGCTGTTTGGAGCCCGGGAGACATGGAAGACCTCCTCTGATGGAGTTCTCAGGCACAACTAGTTCTGAATAGGATGCAACTTTGAGGATTGACATTTCTGACCTCGCTGCATCGCGTGCTTTACTGGCAACAACAAAACTCTTTGGCAATCCCGTAAATACAGTCGCAGACGCCTTGCAGGCGTCTCATCAGCTCTTCCGCCCACGGCCTTGCGGCAAGGCCGAGCAAAAACCGCAAACCGTCGCACGCGCCCAAGCTCAGAACAGAATCTGCTAGACCTGGGCCCCAAACCGGGGCCCGGGGCTTGGGCTTCTCGATTTAGGATCTGGGACTTGGGGTTCAGACTTTTGGGGCTTTCAGGAACCATGCCAGGGGTACCCGGAAGCCGCGGCCGCGGAGACGGAGCTTCCTGGAAGGGGAGCTTGGATGCCTGGCACAAAGGGAACCGGCTTCTAGCGTTGTAGGCTTCCTTGGCTATAGGGTTTAGGGTTTAGGATTTAGAGATTTCAGTCTAGGGTTTAGGGTTTAGGATTTGGAGTTTAGGGTGTAGGGTTCCTCGGCTATGGGCACCACGACATGGGGTCATGGTGGCTGTTCTGCAAGTCTAGGGTTTCTACGGACTACAGAGTCGAGCGTTCAATGCTGTTGGCATAACAGAAGGAGGGACCCTTTTAGGGTTTAGGGTTTAGGGTTCGGAAAGGCCTGACGCTAGCTGCCCTGCGTAGGTGGCGATTGGCATCATCACTTGCCTCGAGCTCGCAAGGTGTGGGTGTAAGGTGAGCGGCCGGCAGCCTCTGGTACTGGCTGCGTCTTGCGTTTCTTGCGCTCGTCATGATTATTATCATCTTTAAAGCTGAGCCCCAAGATTTGGACTCCTTATCTAACTATCACTTTCACTCCCGAATCCACGCGCACCGGAATATCCAGGCCTCCGGACTCTGAAACTTCAAACCACATGCCCAAACTGAACCATAGCCGTAGTCGGACACTTTCAACACAACGAGGCTGCCACGCCAATGCTTCCCTCTCCTCATGCAGATGGCACCTCTGCAAGGGTCGGTGTCATCAAGGCGGAACGACTAAAAACAAAGACAAAGCAAGGAGGACCCAGGGAGTTGACGTGGCACCACGCTTGCACCCCACGCACCACCCAAAGTCCCAAAAAATCAGCCGGATCCTTTGAACAGTCGTATTGCTGGCTGAAGGGCTCCCCAAGCAGCTGCGACAGCTGGTCAACATCCGAGGCCTCGGATTAAGAACCCCGGCATCTTCGAAGATTGCGTCTATATTACCCCATGGTGCCCTGGCGCATCAGAGGGGTGGGATTCTTGCCTGGGGGGTGTCGGTGTTTCTGGGTCTTGTTGCTTTGGTTAAAGGCATGGGGTCGACGCTCACACCAAAACACGAGCTCGACATCGAGAACCTTAGGCCTGAGATCCTGAAGCCCAAGTCCAAGGCTGGTGCCTGAACCCGGGGCCCCAGCCCAACAACTCAAAGGCCTGGGTGTAGGAGGGAAGGGACTAAACCCGGCAGCCCTCAACCCTACAAGTAGTTAAAACCCTAAACCCGAAACCCCGAAGGCCCTACAGCCTTAAATCCTGAACCCCAAAACCCTGAGGTTCGTCCGAGAATCCTCCAACCCCTTGAATGTTGGGCTCCGAGCTAAGAGGGCAACGTCCATCTTCCCACCTTGCACCCAAGTCCTTTATGGGCCAGTATATACTCTGAATGAGCCATGTACGCTGCGGATAGATTTTCATGTGGCGCTTCTGGCTTTGCCGTCTCGACCACGACAGGACGACGCACGATAAAAACAGGAAGGCTGAGTCGGTGTTTAGGGTTTAGGGTTTAGGGTCTAGGGTTTAGGGTTTAGGGTTTAGGGTTTAGGGTTTCGGTCTCTAAACTTCCGCCACGGTGAACCCTGAGTCCGTTTGGCCCTGCGATGTACCAAGACAGAGCAGCATTATTTCTTCCTCAGGAACATCCGGTCTAGAGCACCCTGGCTTTAGAAAAAGACCTGCACAAGTGAAGGCGGGAAGGGAAGCTAGTTTCGTTTGGAAGCTTGCAGTAACTTAGTCGTCAAGTCGTGCAGAGCGCTTTGAGAACAGGCTGCGGCAAAGCAGGCAATGTGTACCCCAGGCGTGGCCCTTTCGCCACTCACCCGCAGCTTGCAGGTGCACCTCGCGATTCAGGATTCGCATGCCCAGAAACAACCAATCTGATGAATGCTAGACCTCTGAGCAGCCCCGGATCCCCGAATCCTAAAACCTCAGTCTGGAACGCCTGACAACCCTGATCCTTGCAATGCGCCTTAAGCCTAGGCCTAAGCTGCCCAAACCCTGCACCCCCAAGGTTTGAACCCCGAGCTTCTGCAGCCCTTAACAAAACCGACACGAAACCGGCCCCCACTCCACCCCCTCTCCCGACTCCCGACAGAAACTCTGCACATCTCTGCACGTTCCCGCGGCCTTCGGATGTCTTCGCCCACAGATGCCAACTTTCGCAGCGCCTTCCTCCAGTCCTGCAGAGGGCTTACAGGGTTTAGGGATGTTCAGGGATTGAGGGCAAGCTGCTGCATTGTGGAGACAACTGCTGATAAGCATGAAGCACAAACGCTTTAGCCGCAAGCGGGAACTTAAGTGCAAAGTCGTGCAAGTGCAACCTGCGATCGGTGTTTGCGCAGAGTGCAAAACTGTGAGCCGCGCCTACGAAAGATGCATGGCTGCTCTCCTGCCGGCACTGCACGCCCTGCTGAACGTCCATCAGCATCACTAATGCTACAGACTACAGCACTAGCTTGCTGCCCGAACACGTGATGCTATTGTAAGAAGCCTTCGCCATAGAACCACACTCGTAAAGAGCATAAAAGCGACTAGTAGGGCCGCGTGCGCTGCTTTCGAGCGACTTTGAGAGATGTCAAGCAGCGGAAGGCACAGGCATTGCTGCCGTGCGCTGGTCTCCTTGACTCCGTGGTCAAAGCGCAGTTTGTTGTGTGCGGCATTGGCCCTGATTTCTTCATTGGCACTGTACATGAAGGCGAGGATCACTCTAGTCCATGCAGTCGCCGGCCGTGTCTGGAATGGAGGCTCTGTCCAAGCTGTCATCTGCAGACCTGGGCACCTTCGGGCTCCTTCCGCCGCGGCGAATGGGCGGCTTCCGCTTGTGGCCCAAGCTGAGGATACAGGTCGGACGGGAGAAGACGGCGACAGGGAGGTCCGGCTCAAAGATGATCTTCAGCACCTGGCAGTCCATGCGGCGCACAGTGACGCTCGTCAAGGCTGCCGCCTCCCCCGAGTCGAGCATTACGAGGTCGCCCACCTTCAACTGGCCAGCCGCACGGTAGACGCTCTCCTCCGGCTCGCCGGTTTTGACCAGGTGGTCTGGAGTCACCTGCAGCACAGCATCCCCTGCCCGCAACTCGACGACCTCGCTGGATTCGCAAATCTCCGGCGTCTTGACCACCTGAAGGATCGTTACATCGTCTCCGGCCACCACCTTCGACCCTTTCTGAAGGTCCCTCCCCATCAGGAAGAAGTCCACGTCGTAGCCACGCGTCTTGAAAACGGCATCCGTCATGAAGCAGTGCGGCTTCACGGTGCCCCGGCTCACCATGAACCAAGAGGAGTTGCTCAACGCTGAAGAAGCGGAACCGTCCTCGCCGGCCAGGCTCAACCCCAGCTGGTTGGCGACAGTGGGACCTGAGGGCAGAAGCGATCCAAAGAGCTGGTGCTCGAGTTCACGGATGCGCTGCTTCTGCATGTCCTTCTGCTCCCAGCAGACCTGCATCTGGCCCTGTGCTTTGGCAAGCTGCTGTTGGAGCTGCTCGCACCGGTCCTGAAGCACGGCCTCGGTGACCAGCTGCCCGCCCTCCCGTTGGGAGGCCTGCGCTTCAAGAAGCTCCTGACGTATCTTCGCCACGGCGGACTCCGCAACTGCTGCGCGGTTTGCAAGCGCTTCGCATTGCTCTTTGCACTTGGCGCCGTCGCGCTGCGCCGCTTGGAGCTCCGCATCCTTGCCACACACCTCCACCTCTGCTGCAGCCAAGCGATTACGTAGCCCTCGGGCCTCTTCCTGCGATGTGTGCAGCTCTGCTTCGAGCTTCTGCCACTTCCGCGCCGTCTCCGTGCTCTCCGCCGCCACGAGCCGACCCGCGAGCTCGAGGCAGCGATCGCGGATGAGGGGATCCTGCAGGTACAAAGCCGCCCAGTCCTCCCGCTCCGCTGCTGGGCGGAGCTCGCCTCGAAGGAGCCCCGCCTCGGAGAAGCGCCACAGGTCGTCTTCGTACTTCCCACACTCGACCGCTCCGTGCTGGAGCAGCGCCTCGCAGAGCCGCTCCGGCCTCGGCACCTTGTTTGCGAGCTCCGCCGCAAAGCGCTCCCGGCAGCGCTCGAGCCAGGCCTCGGCCTCCTCCGGCTGCGAGGCCCAGAGCTCCACCAGCCGCAGGCTCAGCACCTCGCGAGCTCGATCCGCAGAAGCATAGCCTTGATAAACAGCCAAGTCGAGGAAGGCGTCGATGACGGTCGCCACGGGCCAGCCGGCAGGGACTTCGGTGAGCTCACGGAGAAGTTTGGCTTCGGACTGTTGGGGCATGGCGGCGACTCGAAAGCCCCACCCCCCGTGCCAATTTGTGTTGGTCTGCGGCATGGCGGTATGCCTGACGGGCTGGGGCAACGAGGAGCGTCAGAGTCTGACTTCCTGAGCCGTCCGGCAGGCTTCGGCATTCAACAGACAGCGCTCCAAACATCCAAAGCGTGCCTCACCCCCCGCAAAATCCGTCGGAACTGACATCACTTGCAAGAGCTGAAGAAGCCACGGACCTCTTCGTCTCTCTTGGCAGAACCACAGCTCCGAAGGCGCCAGCCACCTCGAAACCTCGGAGCCGATGCGCAAAGTCGAGAGCCGAAGAGCCGAGTTGGGTCGCAGCGCGAAGAACTTTGGGCAGTGCCGGGTAGGGGTGCCCCCTGGGGTTAGAGGATCATGAGATCGCTTGAGTGGAACATCCATGATGTTTCTAGCCTCCAGAAACTGCAAGACTCGACGGACTTCTGCATCCTGAAGCTAAACAGCTAAACTTCTAGCAACCGGTGCAAACAGTCTCTCTTCTCCCCACATAACTTGATCCTTGAGACCCCTGAACAGAGTATTTCGGTACCCTTAAATTCCGATACCCACTTTTTGCTCACAGGTGGCTTCGAGGCCGCCAGCATCTCTTCTGTCGGCATAGGACCATCCTGGAAGGTGAAATGGGAGTCGCACTTGAGACTCTCCAGCAGTTGAGGGTTCAGAGATTCGGGATTTCGCAGTTAAGCTCGGGAAGGGGTTAGGCCGGTTAGGCTTTCGGGTTTAGGATTTGGATACAGCTTTTGTGTCGAGGACCATTTCTGCCGAGGTCTGCCACGCAAGAAGGCCAACGTGAAGAACCTATGATGAAGTCGCGAACATCCACATGACTCTCCAACTGCCTGCAAACAACCGCGATAGTCCTAGACCCTAAACCCTAAACCCTAAAGCTCACAGAACAAGACAAACAGTGACTGGGTCGATGGCTTCCGCCCATGCAGCAACCTCCAGCCCAATTCAAACCCTTTCAGCAGCCTAGCAACAGTCACAGTGATCGTCAAATGGCAGAACCACCGGTTTCCGTCGCAGCCTCAAAAGCTGCGAACCAGACACAGAACCCTACACCCTGAAACCCAGACCCACGACCCACAAACAGGAAAACTCTAAAACCAATAAAACCGTAAAACCTTCAACATTTTGCATCCCCGCTACACGGTGGATCTTCGCGTGCTCGTGCTTGCCGGCCTCCTCCTCACGGCATTTCATAGCGCCTTTTCAATGGGGTTTTTGCTCCGGGTTGTAGGGGTAGGGGTTTTTGGGTTTGTGTTCAGGGCGTGTGGGCTCAACAGTTTCGGGTCTGGTAGTTTAGGGTATAGGATTTAAGTTAAGGCTTCGCGAATAAGTCTGAATAGCAATGGCATTCTTCAGGAAGTTGACTTGACGGCTTGAAACAGCCCAGTCGTAGACTACTATGCTCTAACGAATCTAAGCTGCCTTAAGCTCATCATAGCTCAGGGGCCCGAAGCAACAAGAAACCAGCGCATCGTTTGCACACATCTCAGTGTTCCGAACCTGTTTCCAGCCTAAGCCGAGAAGAACTACAACTACAACAGCCCAGATAAACCTGTCTCATCTCTACTTGAGGTTGTGACTCGGAGGTAACCCTTCCCAACAGATGCTCCAATTTAAGGATGCCTGCTTGCAGGGCGGCCAGGCTCGGAAATCTGCCGAAACCCCCGGAAAGCTATCCAAACGGTGTACATACTGTTGCATACTACCGTGCCAACACAGAAACTAACACAAACCCTGTCATGTCTTCTGTGAAACCCTACCAGGTACAGTAGATTTCTGGGCTCCCTGTGCCCGGGACTCCTCGCCCCCCCTTCAACCTTATGAAGAAGGTTAAGGCCAAGGCCTCTGAAACATCGTTTGAAATGGACTCCTGCCGAACACTCTCAGCCAAAAGCCACGAAGCTCCCGTACGTAAGGAAAAGAAACAGCCTCTGTCCTCCGTGTCAGACGGAGCGTTGCAGACCTGCCCACATGGGAGGCATCCAGTTTCTGCGGCTGTGGTGTGGAGAGCCAGATGAGTGGGCCGCGCAAGAGCCCTCTGCCGCAACTCGGTGGATCTGTTTTCCTGCCTCATCGACTCAGAAATCCGTTGGAGGCCTCCTGCGATCTTCGCCGCAGGGGAAACAAAATTGGGAGCCCACACACAGCTGGAAGATTCATGCAAAGCCTTCGTGCCCACACTGCCCATCCCTCTCTTGTCCCACCGCTTAAAATTAAGTCTATCATAATAGTGTTGCTATACATCGCATAGAACCACAACCCGAAGAATAGAAACGAAGCTGCGGATGGTATCAACTTGGGACCGCGTGCGCTGCACTTGGGGCAACTCCGGCAACAAGTCAAGCAGCGCAAGGCACTGCCGGCAAAAGGACCCCGTGCACTGAACGCCCTGACAACATCACCGGAGAATCTCGAATTTGCTGGCTCTGAAGGGCTCAGGAATCAATCTGCATCTTTTCCATCATGCTGTGACCGCTGCGCCTCTGAGCCGTAACACCGTCGATGTCCCGGCCGTGTTGGGCATCGAGGCTCTTTCCTCATCGGCGCTCCCCCCCGCCGTCCCTGCCTGAGCTCGGCGTCGGTTCATCTTCCCACGGCGCGTCGCGGGCTTCCGGTTGGCACCCTTGCTGAGGATGCAGGGTGGACACGAGAAGACCGCCACAGGCAAGTCCGGCTGGAAGACCAGCTTCAGCACCTCACAGTCGCCCGATTCTACCTCAACATTCGTGAGGACGCCGGGCTCCCCGGCATCGAGCATGACCAAGTTACCCTCCTTGAGCTTTCCTGCTTCGACGTAGCGGGCGCTGCCTCCGCCCTCTTCATCATCCATGGCATCGTCTGCTCGTGGGACCTGGACGGGATGTTCTGCCGTCACCTCCAGCATCGAAACCCCGGCCTGCAAGCGGACGAAACCCTTGGCCTGAGACCGCACCGGTTTCTCACACACTTCCACCATGGTCTCGCCATCCCCGGCCACCACCTGCGATCCCTTCTGGAGGTCCCGGCCCCTCAGGAAGTGCTCGATGCCACCGGTGCGGATCTTGAAGATGGCATCCGGCATGAAGCAGTCGGGCTGCACCGAGAACCAAGAGGAGCAGCTCAAGGCGGAGGAGGAGGCCGCGCCATCTTCCACCAGAACGTACCCGAGTTCTTCAGTCAGATTCGACTCCTGGCCACTGGAGGCTGCTTCGCCACTGGGAGTTGGGCCCTGTTGGATGAGGCTGGCATAAGGGGTGCGTGGCGACGTCGCCCCGCGCTCCAGCTGCCGGCAACGCTCTTTGTAAGTGGCCTTTGCTTCCCACAACACTTGCATCTGGCCCTCTGCCTTGGCAAGCTGCTGCTGGAGCTGCTCGCACCGGTCGGCCAAAACCAACTCAGCTGCCTGAGCCTTGCCACTCTGCCTTTGCAGCCGCTGCACCTCCGCTTGCTTTGCGGCGGCGGCGGATTCGGCCTGAGCCAGATGCTCCTTGGTCTTGGTATGTTCGGAAGCTTCCTTCTCTTTTGCCTCCATCAACTGAATCGCAAAACCGTCGCAGCGCTTCCGAATCTCTTCTGCAGCTGACTCCGCAGCTGCAGTGCGAGTTGCGAGCTCTTCGCGCTGCTCTTTCAGATCTGCACTCTCGGTTTGCGCACTGCGCACCTGCGCTTCCGCCACAGCCAGGCGATTGCGCAGCTCTCGGCGCTCCTCCTCCGACTGTTGGAGCTCTGCTTCGAGGCGACGGCGCTCGGAGGTTTCTACCTCGAGCCTCCTCTGCCGCTTCCTGCGCACCGTCTCCTGGCTCTCCGCCGCCACGAGCCGCGCCGCGAGCTCCCGGCAATGAGCATGGTGGTCGGATTGATGCAGGTGCCAATCTACGCCGTCAACCCCCTGCCAGCAACGACGGTGCTTAAACAGCCCCACCTCGGAGAATCGAGATTCACTCGCGTTCTGGCCAAACTCGACCGCGCCGTGCCAGCGCAGCGCCTCGAAGAGCAGCTCTTGCCTCGCCAACGAGTAACAGCCAAGCCATATCTCGGCCCCTCGTGGCCTTGAGCCGCGCTCCGCCAGCTCCGACGCAAAGGACGCAAAGCGCTCCCGGCACCGGCTCAGCCAATCCTCGGCCTCCTCCCGCTGCGAGACCCAGAGCTCGAGCAGCCGCTGGCTCAGCGCCTCGCGAGAGCGAGCTCGCCGCTCGAGCTCAAAGGGCGTGCCCCCTTCTTTCGAAAGCAACTCGGCAAACGCCTCGATGACGGTCGCAAGAGGCCAACCGGCAGGGACTACGGTCAGCAACCCGAGTGGTGCTGTTTCGGACATGGCAGCGTTCCTCGCGAGCTGGGAGTCGTCTTGCTGAGCCGTCAAACAGGCTTTGGCATACAGCATGCGTCGCTCCAAGGGTGCAAAGCGCGGCTCCAAGGCTTCTTCACGCGGCTTTCTTGCAACAAACATCGGAACTGACACATCCGAGACCCCACCAGCCATGCAAACCACGGACCTCGGCACAAGCCAAGAACGCTGAACTCCCGAAAAACAGTCAGTAAGGTATACCCTGCCAGTTTTCTCATGGCGCCAGAGCAGCCCTTACACGAAAACCCTCTTGGACCTCCTGGAGAAGCACATCGAAGCCAGAGCAGTCGCTGAAGCTGGCACCCCTGAAACTACTTCTGGGAAGCTGCGCTCAATAGCCATGCACTTCCATACCGTAGCACTCTTTCAGGGTCGAGCGTTCGGCTTTTCGAGGCTGCGCAGCCGACAGGATTTTCCAGAGACCTCTTTTTGGCACCCTGCCTTCGAGCTGAGCAGCGTTGGAGCTGAGGGGCTTCGGACTTCAGAGGCCATGCTTCCCAACCCTCCGCACATCACCGCCGAGGCCGAGTCTTTTGGTGCGCCCTCGACCGTGAAGCCGAGGAGCCCGAAGCCCCCCAGGAGAGCCCCGGAGCGGTAAAAAAAAAAACCGAGGACTCACATAGGGATCTTAAGAAGCAGGCTAGGGTTGGTGGTATTGCATCTTAGTTCACGATTCAAACATCTCTATGGAGCCTGTCATCCGAAAAACTACTAACAACCGGGGAAATCGGAGAACGTGAGCGTACCAAAACGTGCCACGCTCCACACTGTATAGGGCTTCAGGCCGCAAGCTGCTTAGCGCTCAACAGGGGGCATCGAGCTACTCCGTGGCCAGAGACTCTCGCAACGCGAAGCTGCTTGTGAAGACGCCTGTATCGATGATGCTGATGACAACGTTGAGGGTGAGGATTCAGTATGATTCAGTCACTGACGGTGATGGTGATGATGGCGATGGTCTTGGTGGTAATGGTGATGGTAATGCCGATGGTGATGGTGACGGTGACCATTGCACTGGCGATGATGATGATGATGATGATGATGATGATGGTGCGGATGGTCATCCTCATCATCAACAACATCATCTTCGTGATAACGACAGCATCATCGTCGTCATTATGCTTTGCACTTTCATGTCGAAGACACACACACACACACACAATCACACACATCTCAGCGGCCTCCCGACGCTGGCGCCATCCTGGCGAGAATGCTGGGTGAAGCTGTGGCTTGAAGCTTCATTGCACAAAGCTGTGTAAGATATAACCCCATGGGAACCCACGACCTATGTTGGGAGCACGATTCTGTCATGAACCGATGATGGACTTCGCTAGCAAAAAAGGACGCGCAGAGTTGCTGCAGAATTCGTACTGCAGCGGTCCATTTTCTCGTGCGCCTGGCCTCCGAGGCTCAAAGGAATCAGCCCCCCCGCCCCTCTCCCCCTCGTGGGTGCGAGTCGCTTTCCGGGCCTCATGACGATCAGGAAACACAGGATTGGGTTGCTTCGCGCAAAGAACTGCAAAGCTTCAGTATGACGATTAGAGTTTAGAGTATAACGGAACATACAAGCATTTCCTCAACATGCACCATCTCCTGCGCGGCAGAAGTTTCTAGGCTGAAGTGCAACGCAGCATAGCAACACTGCATCGACAGTCTCCTGAGGCATAGGGCCCGGAGCATACTGAGAGCGACTGCACGGCCCATCTTGCGAGAAGGGAAACAAAATCTGCGAGCAAAGGAAGAACTTCGTGGGCACTGCGAGTCCAAGTTTACTTCCGATACTAAGTTGAAAAGTTGTGTGGGGATCGAACCTCTTGGAAGTCCACTAACAACAATCCGGATCAGCTTATGCACTTCGAGGCCAGTTGTAATCCTGGACCGCGTGCACCACGGAGCACCCAGACTCGGGAATAAGCAGCATGGGAGGTCTTTGCAGTGAGGTGCTCTTGCTAGTTGCATACTGAACCTACAGGTATGGAAGAAGACTATGGAGCGATTCGGTACAGTTTTCTGTTCCAAAGAGAATCGAGCAAACAACAGTTTGCAGCACCACAGCCACTTCCATTCAGCTCTCCCCCCCTCCGGAAGCGCACGCACCGGAAGGCTTTCGGTTGAGAAACTTCCCTGCCGGCTTTTGCGCAGGGAAGCTCGCGAAGAGCGAGAGAAACGGTTTCAGCGCAGTCACTGCGAACCCTAAGTTACATCTTCAATCCATCCAGAACTAGCTGGTTCTTAGTGGCATGGGGGTGTAAGCTTTTCCCTAGTGGCACGGGCGAGGTAGTGTAGACTAGTGTAGACGCGTGTTGCACAGATACGGTCGGGAATGGCTGTGAATTGTATCCGTCTAGATGCCACTTGCCTCTGTAATGTACGTCTACGTGTGCTTCAATGAACAGTGTTTGATGTCTAAGCCAATCGAGTAACCAAGGGCGGCGTGCGCTGCACTTCGCAAGATTGTGGCGTCTCTGTGCGCCGGCAGCTGGAACGTGCTGCTAACATAAAAAAGGAACCCTTCAACACAAGTCCATCTCAATCCTAGCGCTCCCCACCGCGGTGTCGGGAATGGAGACCGCGCCGTCGGTCGGATCGACCACCCCCTCTCCCCCCGCTCCCTTCCGGCACTCCCCGGAGCGGCGCGGTGGCTTCTTCTGGTGACCTTTGCTTTGGATGCAGGGCGGGGCAGAGAAGACCGCCACAGGCAGGTCCGGCTCAAAGACGATCTTCAGCACCTCGCACTCTGTCGCCTGGAAATTCACCCCGGTGAGCTCTGCAGCCTCCCCGGAATCCAGCACCACCGAGTCGCCCACCTTCAACTGCCCCGCTGGGATGTAGAGAATCTTGTCCAGCTCGCCTCTGGCGTCTGGGACTTGCACGGGATGGTCCGGGGTCACGCGCAGCATCGCACCGCCTGCTTGCAAGTCCACCACTTCCGTGGCGAGACAGATCTCCGGGGGCAGAGCCACTTCGAGAAGGGTCTCGCCATCCCCGGCCACCACCTGCGATCCCTTCTGGAGGTCCCGGCCCTTCAGGAAGTGCTCGATGCGACCGCTGCGGGTCTTGAAGATGGCGTCCGGCATGAAGCAGTCGGGCTGCACCGAGAACCAAGAGGAGCAGCTCCAGGCGGAGGAGGAGGCCACGCCATCGTCCACCAGAACGTACCCGAGTTCTTCGGTCAGCTTCGGCTCCTGGCCGCCGGAAGCTGCGTCGACGCTGGGAGTTGGGCCCTGTTGGGTGAGGCTGGAACGGATGGAAGGGGTTCGTGGAGACGTCGCCCCGCGCTCCAGCTGCCGGCAGCGCTCTTTGTAAGTGGCCTTCTCTTCCCGCAAAACCTGTATCTGGCCCTCTGCCTTGGCAAGCTGCTGCTGGAGCTGCTCGCACCGCTCTTGGAGCCTTGCATTCTCGAGCTGTAGCTCCACCTTGCTCTCCGCTACAGCCGAGCGGGCCCCCTCTGCCTGCTGGCAGCGCTCCTGGTAGCCGCGACTCTCCGCTTGCAGCCGCTGCACCTCCTGCCTCCTTTCCGCCGCATCGGCTTCGGCCTGCAAGAGACGCTCCTTCGTCGTTGCATGCTCAGCTGCTTCTGCCTCCGAACGATTTGCAAGCTCCTGGCCACGCTCCTGGCACTTGCCATGCTCCTCCTGCAACTGCCGGAGCTCCTTCTGCAGCTCCACCACAGCTGACTCCGCAGCTGCAGTGCGAGCTGCGAGCTCTTCGCGCTGCTCTTTGAGAGTTGCCCTCTCGGTTTGCGCTCTGCGCACCTTCGCTTCCGCCACAGCCAGGCGATTGCGCAGCTCTCGGCCCTCCTCCTGTGACCTCTGGAGCTCCGCTTCGAGGCGATGGCACTGGGCAGTCTCCTCCTCGAGCTTCTGCCGCTTCCGCGCCGTCTCCGTGCTCTCCGCCGCCTCCGAGAGCTTCCGGCAGGCAGTGCGGACGAAGGGCTGCCCCCGGTACCAATTCGCCAAGCTCTCCCGCTCCGCTACTGAGTGCTCCGGCTCTCCTTGAAGGAGCCCCGCCTCGGAGAAGCGCCAGTCGCAACACTGGTACTTCCCGTACTCGCCCGCCCCGTGCCAGAGCAGCGCCTCACAGAGCCTCTCCGCCCTCGTCGCCTGGACCGCCAGTGCCTGCGGAAAGCGCTCCCGGCAGCGCTGGAGCCAGGCCTCGGCCTCCTCCGGCTGCGAGGCCCAGAGCTCCACCAGCCGACGGCTCACCGCCTCGCGAGCTAGCTCTGCACCATAAGCTGCCAACTCGCCGAAGGCGTCGATGACGGTCGCCAGGGGCCAGTCGGCCGGGACTTCGGTCAGCTCAGAGAGATATTTTGCTTCGGAAGGCTGGGTCATGGCGTCGCGCCACAGAGTTCGTCGGGTTCGTCGCTGGGAGCCTCTCAACATCGCTGCGGAGCTCCGAGACTTCTCCGCCCCGGTTCCATGCAAGGCCGAGTCTCAAGTCCGCTTCCTCACAAGAAGCAGACCTGCACTTTCATGCACGTCCAAGGTTACCTGACACCTCCCTATCTCAAGAAACCACGGCCCGGGACCTGGAGCCGCACCGGGAAGCGCCGGCTGCCGGGTGTGTGCAAAACGCCACTTCATGTAGGCCTCGGATCCGGCTTGCAGCGTTGCTCATTTGTTCGATCTATGGCTGCGATGTTGGTGGCAAAGCCCATCCGTTGAACAAGACATACTTTGGCAGATGCAGGGTTTCGGAACTGTGGCTCAGGAGAAATACACGGCTGTAGCAGTCAGTTCTAGGATTCAGGGCCTTGGGTCAACCTTGACCCAGCTCGCTTCCCTAAACTGCCATGAGAATCCCAAGAGCACCCCTTTTTGACACCTTAGACTTCTATGGGGAGGGGAAGAGCCCGGGGGGCGGTTCTGCTCACAGGGCTGGTGGCTCGCTCCTTCTTAACAACGGGCTCTTCATCCCAGCTCACACTCGGATCTCAAGAGATACCTTCCAGGAGTCCCACTGCAACCAACGGAGCTCTGAAAACCACGCCAAACCCGTAGACAGGCAGATCGAATCAAGAGCTCTGGAGAAAATCCAAAAAGTTCCAAATAACCTCCAATTAACAGATCATCCGCTGTGCGGGAGCCGGGCTCCCTCTCAAAACCGCAGCACGCAGTTCGCCAAAGGGAGCAGGGCCCGGCCCCGTGACACCAAATCTGCCAAGATAGTTGCTGCATTTATGCTTAATTTGAGGTGCTGTCAGGATCTAGTAATGCTAATTCTTCAGGCTTCTACCGTACACCATCTTACCGGCTGAGATTCCATGAAGGAAGAAGGATGGGGCCTCGGCAGAGCCTTGTTGTAGGCACGGGTAAGGCTGCAAAGCCTGTAAGAAAGCAACCGAGCGCGGGGCGGAATGGCAGCTCGCGGCTGCCGAAGTGGAGTTGCACAGGGGCTGCTGTAAGCCGCAGTTTTTCGCCACATGCAAAAGCTTTTTGGTAAGGGTTTTGGGATAGACTCAAAGGCTGGAAACTCGACCCCACATCCTCAAAAGCCAACTGCAGGGCCGAAACCTCGGGACTCGTGGGTCTCATCTTCTCCCGAACCGTTTGCATGGGATCCCTCCCTCTCTGCACTACACCTTGCAACTTGCGGCCTTTTGAGGGCGTTCATGTCCGGGTCTACAGTGTTCAGCCGTCAATGTAGCCGACAAGCTCCTAAGAGAGGCATCCATGACCAGTCGGAAAGGCCCACGTCGCACGTGAGACTCAAGCGCCACAGATCTTCCGTTGCTTTTTGTTGCTCCCCCCGCTGCCGTCGCTCAAGCTTTGAGCACAGGGCTGCAAGATGCTGTAAGGTTCAAGGGAGTGGCTAGAGATCTTATGGAATTCAGGGAGCAGGTTACAAGGAACAAATTGTGCTCTGATTGATTAGAGGAAACAGGAAGGTGCGCTCAATTCGGTGCTCACGCTTCAGTTTCGCCCTAAGTGCCGGCCTGGCCCTTTTTTTGGGGGGGGATCGCGGCGTCGGAGCCTTCGTCTAATTCGGGCCCAAGGCTACCGGACCGCTTTGTCCTCGAAAGGAAAATGCCCCAACATCCTCTTAGCCTTCAGGGGATTACCGGTAGCCTGACCCGTCTAGAGAGGGCGGTAATGCTAGTCTGAGGCTCCCTCTCCGATCTCTTTGCAAGAGCTCCGAAACTTCACGACCAGTTTCGAAAGGGAGTCCCAGCTTGGAGCCCACCGCCCCCGGATTCCTGTTTCAGAAACCTCGTTCAACGAAGCGAGCTCCCGAAGCGGGCGCGCTGGCAGGTTGCCATCATCAACGTTCGGGGTGTTTCGCACGGAAGGCATATAGGAGAAGGCTTACCTTAAGTCTCCTGGGCTCATCGGGTTTCTGGGTTTGTGGGAGTTGTATGGTCAGATCATACAGGATTCATGGAGTTTTGGTGCAGGCCTACGGGCGCGGTTCTCGAGGTTCAGGCCGCGCATTTCAAGCTTGCAGGAAGGTTGTGGAAAGTTACGAGCTCGGCAAAGCTAACACTTCCCTGAGCCTCGATCCTTTAAACGGGTCCACATGTCACGTAATAAGATGAGATTCTCGATTCTGATCTTGCGTGTAGAAGGGTTCATGTGAATAGTAGCTGTGATCTTGCGAAACCAGTATTCAGTTGCTGCAGTAAGTGCTGCCTGCACACCCATTCCGTGCAAACCTGCACAGCTCATCGCGGAAGAAAGGACCTGAAGCAGCAGAGGCCAAGCCTTGAGCTCTAACCCTGCCTCGCCCTCTGGAAGACAGATACGCTTGACCTGCTGCCTAGTTGTTATCTGGGTCTCTGCAGTGGGAGACACAGTCAGCGTCCAGCACCGCAACCGGCTAAGACGGCGTAGAAAAACATACATGCACCTGCCCAAATCGATCCAAGCTATACGCATGTATCTCACGAGAAGAAAGCAAGCTTTCAGGAATTTCAATTCCGAAACCCTGGGAGCCGGGCTTCTTCGAGGCGCTCGGCAGTCCGGCGCCTCGCAACGGGAGAGCTTGGAGGGAGCTCTGCGAGGGGAAGGGCTCTACGACTCCAGCTTGAAGCTCTCCCTGGCTGCGAACTGAGGCAAAGGGAGCCTCCCCTCAAAAAAGAAGCGCATGGCATCTTTATGAGGCTCGGGTGGCACGGTCTTGGCAGGCCCTGGACGTGCAGCAGAGCAAGGATGGGACGAGCATCTTCACGTTTTGGCTTGCCAGCGGTCCAACACCTAATGCGAGATCTGGGCGGAGGCGCTCTAGCCTGCAGTCTTCTGTGCAGGGTTCCTAAGCCTGGAAGAGATCCAACTGCCACGAGCTCTTCTGCCGGCACTGCGGCCCCCCACTGAACATCGCTTATACTCTGTGGATTATCGTCTCCGGCACACCCACCCCTCAGACCCTCAGCACCCACAACACACAGAGACACCCTAGGTTTACATGGCTGACGAGTTGGAGCATGTAAAGCAGGGGTCACGTGCGCTGCGCTCGAGCGACTCCAGCGACAAGCCAAAGAGGATTAGGCACAGGCATGCGCCCAGGCAGCCGTGCGCTGACCCCCTCGACCACACGCCGCCGGAGTCCGTGAATTCGCAAAAATCCGCGAACATGGGATGGCCCACTCAACAAATCACACACCACAGCGAGCCACACACCTATACACATCTCAGAAGCCTAGTCCATGTAGTCACCCGCCGTGATCGGGACAGAAACGCCACCGTCCATGCTGTCATCCGAGGGGCCCGGGCCTCCCTGGCTCCTTCCGCCACGCCGAATGGGCGGCTTCTTCTTGTGGCCCAAGCTGAGGATGCAGGTCGGACGGGAGAAGACGGCCACGGGCAAGTAGGGCTCAAAGACTATCTTCAGCACCTGGCAAGCCATGCGTCGAATCACGACGCTGCTCAAGGCCACGGGCTCGCCCGAGTCGAGCATCACCAGGTCGCCCGCCTTCAGCTTGCCTGCTGCAAGGTAGAGGCCCTCTTCGGCCTCCCCCTTTGCATCGGCGACCTGCACCAAGTGGTCCGGAGTCACCCGCAACGTTGCAGCGCCTGCCTGCAACTCCACAACCTCGCTGGCATCGCAGATTTCCGGCGTCTTCGCCACCTCCAGGATAGATGCGTCATCTCCGGCCACCACCTGTGAACCTTTCTTGAGGTCTCTTCCCATCAAGAAGAAGTCCGCCCCGAAGCTCCGCGTCTTGAAGATGGCATCGACCATGAAGCACTGGGGTGTCACAGAGTCCGGCTTCACTGAGAACCACGAGGAGTTGCTCAAGACCGAAGACGCTGTCCCGTCGTCATCCACGACGATGCTGTAACCCAGCTGCTCGGCAAGATCTGGCTCCTGGCTGTTGGAGGCTTCGTCGATAAGAGCTTCGCAATGCGGGGCGTGACCAGAGTTGAGATGATGGGATTTCTTCTGTGCCTGAAGCAGATGCCTCTCCAGCTCGCGAATGCGCTCCTTGTGCATGCCCCTCTCTTCCCGCAGATTCAAAAGCTGACCGAGCATTGCCGATCTCTCAGCCTCTGCTTTGGTAAGCTGCTGCCGAAGCTGCTCGCAGCGGTCTTGGAACACTGCCTTGTCCTTCTCGAGCTGCAGCTCGGCGTTGCTACCCGGCGCTTCTGTCAAAACCGAGCGGGCCACCTCTGCCTGCTGGCAGCGATCCTGGCAGCCGCGACTCTCCTCTTGCAGCCGCTGCACCTCCACCCTCCTTTCCGCAGCATCGCATTCGGCCTGCAAGAGACGCTCCTTCGTCGCGGCATGCTCAGCTGCTTCTGCCTCCAAACGATTTGCGAGCTCCTCACAACGCTCCTGGCACTTGCCATGCTCGTCCTGCAACTGCCCGAGCTCCTGTTGCATCCTTGCCGCCGCGGTCTCGGCAGCTGCAGCGCGAGTTGCAAGCTCTTCGCACCGCTCCCTGCACTTGGCGCTCTCGCTCTGCGCCGTTTGCAGCTCCGCATCCTTGCTGGACGCCTCCGCCTCTGCTGCAGCCAAGCGATTACGTAGCCCTCGGGCCTCCTGCTGCGATGTTTGCAGCTCTGCCTCCGCCGCGGCCACGCGATTGCGTAGCTCTCGGCTCTCCTGCTGGAGCTCCGCTTCCAGGCGACGGCGCTGGGCAGTCTCCTCCTCGAGCTTCTGCCGCTTCCGCGCCGTCTCCGAGCTCTCCACCGCCGCGAGCCGCTCCGCGAGCTGCCGGCAGCGATAGCGGGTGACGGACTGCTGCGAGTACCAAGCCGCCTTGCGCTCCCGCTCCGCTGTTGGGAGGTCCAGCTCCACTCGAAGGAGCCCCGACTCGGAGAAGTGCCAGTAACCATGCCACTCGTACTTCCCATACTCGGCCGCCCCGTGCCGAAGCAGCGCCTCGCAGAGCCTCTCCGCCCTCGTCGCCGTGTTCAGCTCTCCGAAGCGCTCCCGGCACCGCTCGAGCCAGGCCCCGGCCTCCTCCTCGGAAGCCCAGAGCTCCACCAGCCGACAGCTCACCGTCTCGCGAGCTCGCTCTGAAGGAGCATAACCTGCAGCATAAACAGCCAAGTAGGCGAAGGCGTCGACGACGGTCATGAGCTGCCAGCCGGCGGGGACTTCGGTCAGGTGTACGAGATGTTTTGCTTCGGACTGCTGGGGCATGGCGGCGCGCTGCGGAGCTCGGAAGGCGGGTGACGGACGGGCGTAGGCGTAGGTATGTCGGAGTCGTCGCTTTGAGCCTTTCAACTGCCGAAGGAAATTTGTACAAAGAGTCCGCCGCATTTCTCCTGGCCCGGTTCCATGCAAAGCAGAGTCTCACGTCCGCTTCCTCGACTTTCATGTACGTCCAAAGTTACTCCCGAGACCTCCATGTCCCCAACAAACCAGGGCCCTGGACCTGGAGCCGCACCGGGAAGCGCCGGCTGCCGGGTGTGCGTGAAACGCCACTCCAGGTAGGCCTCGGATCCAGCTTGCAAGGTCGCAGATATGTCGATCTGTGGCTGGGAGGTTGCCGGCAAAAGTGGCTTGGAGCTGTGGCTGTGTGTTGCTGAAGGAAGGAAGCGACGGCTGAGCAGTCGGTGGGCTTTGGGGGGTATCCCCAAGCAAAAATGCTTCGCTCTGGGATTCAGGGCCTCAGCTCAAGCTTGACCACATTCGAGTTCTATCGAGGGGGAGAATGGGCAGGGCTTTTTTTACACCCCGACTTGGCTCCCTTTGGACCCTGTTCAGGATTTTGGTTTTTTTCGCACCCTGTCCGGACTGCCCTGGGCTGGGTCTGGGGCTTTTTTCGCGCCCTTTCGTGCTGCACATGTTTAGGGGGGGGCGTGGTCTTCTCTAGCAAACACCCTACTTTCCTTACATTTTGGACGGATTTTCTGTCATTTCCCTTAGGTTTTCCTTGGTTTTTCATAGGGAAAACCCTATTTTCTTTACATTTTAGATTTTAGACGGCTTTCCTGTCATTTCCCTTAGGTTTTCCTTGGTTTTTCCTCAGGAAAACCTATTTTCTTTACATTTTGGACAGATATCCTGTCATTTCCTTGAGGTTTTCGTTGGTTTTTCCTAAGGAAACCCTGTTCTGCTGACATTTTGGAAGGATTTCGTCAAACGTAAAAGCATTTCCTTATTTGTCCTAGGGAAACCCTTTTTTCTTTCCCCCCTCCATTTGCAAACACCCTCCTCACATGATGGGTGTCAACAAGTTTCTTGGGCTTTGAAGCACGCTCTGCACGGCTTTAAACAAAAGCGGAGGGGTTTGGGGGGGGGGGGGGGCCCCCCCATTTGCAAACACAATGCTCACACGATGTTTTTCAACTAGTTTCTTGGGCCAAAGACGCGGGGGGGTTGGGGGGGTGGTTGGTGGGGGGGGTTGGGGAGGGGTTGGGGGGGGTTGCACTTGCACGCACATGATGGGCGGCAACAAGTTTCTTGGGCTTTGAAGCACGTTCGGGGCTTCAAAAAAAAGCGGGGGGGGTTGGGGGGTGCGCAGGGGGGGTTGGGGGATGCGCAGCCTTCCTATAGTACGGCTTAAAAGAAGTGGGCCCCCCCCCCGCACTTGCAAACACCCTGCTCACATGATGGGCGTCAGCAAGTTTCTTGGGCTTTGAAGCACGCTCTGCAGGGCTAAAAAAAAAGCGCGGGGGTTGGAGAGGGCGCAGCCCCCCCCATTTGCAAACACAATGCTCACACGATGTTTTTTCAACTTGTTTCTTGGGCTTTGAAGCACGCTTGGTACGGCTTAAAAGACCCTGCTCACATGATGGGCGTCAGCAAGTTTCTTGGGCTTTGAAGCACGCTCTGCAGGGCTAAAAAAAAAGCGCGGGGGTTGGGGAGGGCGCAGCCCCCCCCATTTGCAAACACAATGCTCACACGATGTTTTTCAACTTGTTTCTTGGGCTTTTAAGCACGCTTGGTACGGCTTAAAAGAAGCGGGGGGGGGTTGGGGGGGCGCAGCCCCCCCCCCCCACTTTGCAAACACCCTGCTCACATGATGGGCGTCAACAAGTTTCTCGGGTTTTGAAGCACGCTCTGCGCGGCTTAAAAAAAAAAAGGCGGGGGGGTTGGGGGGGGCGCCCCCCCCCATTTGCAAACACGATGCTCGCACTCACACGATGTGTTTTCAACTAGTTTCTGGAGCTTTGAAGCACGCTTGGTACGGCCTAAAAGAAGCGGGGGGGTTGGGGGGGGGGGGGCGCAGCCCCCCCCCATTTGCAAACACCCTGCTCACATGATGGGTGTCAACAAGTTTCTTGGGCTTTGAAGCACGCTCTGCACGGCTTTAAACAAAACCCGGGGGAGAATGCCTGGAGCCGGTTCTACTCGCAAGGCTGGAGCCGGCTCGATGCTAGAAAGCTCGCTCTCTGATCTCAAGAGGTGCCCCGAGGATTTGGACCCGCTGCAACCTACGGAGCCCTGCACCCCGAAATCCCCCAAAAATCTCCCAAAGCCTCAATGCAAAACCCATAGACAGGCAGATCAAAACGGAATCAGGGGCTGCCAGCGATGGGCTCCAACTACAAAACCCATTTCACAAAGGGAGCCGGCCCCGAACCGCGACACCAAATCTGCCAAGAAAGCTGCTGTTTATGCTATCTGAGTTGAGGCGCCGTCAGGCTTCTAGGAATGCTGGTTCTGCAGGCTTCTGCTTTACACGATCTTACCGACTGAGATTCCATGAAACAAGGACGTGGCCTCGGCAAGCCGGGTCCTTAGCCTGTTGAGCCTGAAGCTGGTGCCGAAACATCCCGTCCCGAACTTGAAAGTCTCAGGCTTTCAGGAACTCTGAGAGTTCTGAGGGAGACTTCGGATGCTGCATTGACTTTGGGGTGCCGATGGCGAGGGCTGTGGTGTCAGGGCAACCAAGCGCCGGGCCGGATCACGGCTCCCGGATGTCGAAGTGGAGTCGCGCGGGGGCTGCTGTGAGCCGCAGTCTTCGCCGAAACGGGTATGAAAGACATGAAGCCCGATCCGAGCCCCCCAACCAACACCCTCAATGCCCAAAGACATAATTTGCATGGGATCCCTCCCGCCCTGCGCTACACCTCCAATGGCATTCATGTTGGGGTACAGCGCCGTCAGGCTAGCCTACACGCATTGCCTTAGAGAAGACGAAGATGACACACGGGAGCTTCAAGTGCCCACACATCTTCACAACCACTCCTCACGGCCGAGGCCAGCTTTTCTGCTCCGTTCGCTGTGGTCACACAAGCTTTGGGCACAGGGCCGTAAGGTTGAAGGGAGTAGCTGGAGATCTGAGGGTGTTCGCAATGCAGGATTTCCGGGCTTGTGGAAACAAGGAAAGATCAAGTCGGTGCTTACGCTTTAGCTTCGCCCATAAGTGCCGGCCTGCCCCCCCCCCCCATTTGGGGGGGATCGCGGCATCGGAGCTTTCTTCTAATTCGGGCCCAAGGCTACCGGACCGCTTGGTCCTCGAAAGGAAATCCCCAACACCCTCATAGCCTTCAGGGGATTACCGGTAGCCTGACCCGTCTAGAGAGGGCGGTGACGCTACTCTGAGGCTCCCTTTCCGATTTCTTTGCGAGCTCCGAAACTTCACAAGAAGTTTCGAAGGGGAGTCCCAGTTACGGAGCCCACCGCCCCCGGATTCCTGTTTCAGAAACCTCGTTCAACGAAGCGAGCTCCCGAAGCGGGCACGCTGGCAGGTTGCCATCATCAACGTTCGGGGTGTTTCGCACGGAAGGCATATGGGAGAAGGCTTACCTTAAGTCTCCTGGGCTCATCGGGTTTCTGGGTTTCTGGGAGATGTATGGTCAGATCATACAGGATTCATGGAGTTTTGGTGCAGGCCTACGGGCGCGGTTCTCGAGGTTCAGGCCGCGCCTTTCAAGCTTGCAGCAAGGTTGTGGAAAGTTTCGAGCTCGGCAAAGCTAACACTTCCCTGAGCCTCGATCCTTTAAACGGGTCCACATGTCACGTAATAAGATGAGATTCTCGATTCTGGTTTTGCGTGTAGAAGGGTTCATGTGAATAGGTTTGGCACAGACGCGCCTTGTCAGTATCAGCTAGCTGTGATCTTGCGAAACCAGTATTCAGTTGCTGCAGTCAGTGCTGCCTGCACACCCATTCCGTGCAAACCTGCACAGCTCATCGCGGAAGAAAGGACCTGAAGCAGCAGAGGAAAAGCCTTGAGCTCTAACCCTGCCTCGCCCTCGAGAAGACAGATACGCTTGACCTGCTGCCTAGTTGTTATCTGGGTCTCCGCAGTGGGAGACACAGTCAGCGTCCAGCACCGCAACCGGCTAAGACGGCGTAGAAAAACATACATGCACCTGCCCAAATCGATCCCAGCTATACGCATGTATTTCACGAGCAGAAAGCAAGTTTTCAGGAATTCCAACTCCGAAACCGGGAGCCGGGCTTCTTCGAGGCGCTCGGCAGTCCGGCGCCTCGCAACGGGAGAGCTTGGAGGGAGCTCTGCGACAGCAAGGGCTCTACGACTCCAGCTTAACGCTCTCCCTGGCTGCGAACTGATGCAAAAGGAGCCTCCCCTCAAAAAAGAGCATGGCATCTTTATGAGGCTCGGGTGGCACGATCTTGGCAGGCCCTGGACGTGCAGAAGAGCAAGCAAGGATGGGACGAGCACCTTCACGTTTTGGCTTGCCAGCGGTCCAACACCTCATGTGAGATCTGGGCGGAAGCGCTCTAGCCTGCAGTCTTCTGTGCAGGGTTCCCAAGCCTGGAAGAGATCCAACTGCCACGAGCTCTTCTGCCGGCACTGCGGCCCCCCACTGAACATCGCTTGCTGCGGATACTCTGTGGATTATTATCGTCTCCGGGGCACACCCACCCCTCAACCCTCAGCACCCGCAACACACAGAGACACCCTAGGTTTACATGGCTGACGAGTTGGAGCATGTAAAGCAGGGGTCACGTGCGCTGCGCTCGAGCGACTCCAGCGACAAGCCAAAGAGGATTAGGCACAGGCATGCGCCCAGGCAGCCGTGCGCTGACCTCCTCGACCCACACGCCGCCGGAGTCCGTGAATTCGCAGAAATCTGCGCACATGGGATGGCCCACTCAACAAATCACACACATGCGGGCCCAATCTATACACATCATCTCAGTCCTAATGGCCTAGTCCATGTATTCACCCGCCGTGATCGGGACAGAAACGCCGCCGTCCATGCTGTCATCCGAGGGGCCCGGGCCTCCCTGGCTCCTTCCGCCACGACGAATGGGCGGCTTCTTCTTGTGGCCCAAGCTGAGGATGCAGGTCGGACGGGAGAAGACGGCCACGGGCAAGTAGGGCTCAAAGACGATCTTCAGCACCTGGCAAGCCATGCGCCGAATCACGACGCTGCTCAAGGCCACGGGCTCGCCAGAGTCGAGCATCACCAGGTCGCCCGCCTTCAGCTTGCCTGCTGCAAGGTAGAGGCCCTCTTCGGCCTCCCCCTTTGCATCGGCGACCTGCACCAAGTGGTCCGGAGTCACCCGCAACGTTGCAGCACCTGCCTGCAACTCCACAACCTCGCTGGCATCGCAGATTTCCGGCGTCTTCGCCACCTCCAGGATAGATGCGTCATCTCCGGCCACCACCTGTGAACCTTTCTTGAGGTCTCTTCCCATCAAGAAGAAGTCCGCCCCGAAGCTCCGCGTCTTGAAGATGGCATCGACCATGAAGCAGTGATCTTTCACGGAGTCCGGCTTCACTGAGAACCACGAGGAGCTGCTCAAGATCGAAGAGGCTGTCCCGTCGTCATCCACGACGATGCTGTAACCCAGCTGCTCGGCAAGATCTGGCTCCTGGCTGTCGGACGCTTCGTCGACAGGAGCTTCGCAATCCGGGGCGTGACCAGAGTTGAGATAGTGCAATTTCTTCTGTGCCTGAAGCAGCTGCCTCTCCAGCTCACGAATGCGCTCCTTGTGCATGCCCCTCTCTTCCCGCAGATCCAAAAGCTGAGCGAGCATCGCCGATCTCTCAGCCTCTGCTTTGGTAAGATGGTGCCGAAGCTGCTCAGAGCGGTCTTGCAAAACTGCTTTCTCCTTCTCGAGCTGCAGCTCGCGGTTGCTCCCCGGCTCTTCTGCCGAATGCGCGCGGGCCACCTCTGCCTGCTGGCAGCGCTCCTGAAACCCGCGACTCTCCTCTTGCAGCCGCTGCACCTCCGCCCCGGTCTGTAAGAGACACTCCTTTGTCGTTGCATACGGGGAAGCTTCCGCCTCCAAACGATTTGCAAGCTCCTCACAACGCTCCTGGCCCTTGCCGTGCTCCTCTTGCAACTGCCGAAGCTCCTGCCGCATCTCCGCGGCCGCTGCCTCTGCAGCTGCAGCGCGAGTTGCGAGCTCGCAGTTTCGGAGCTTCGCATCCTTGCTGGACACCTCCGCCTCTGCCGCAGCCAGGCGATTGCGAAGATCTCGACGCTCCTCCTGCTGCGACTTCTGGAGCTCCGCTTCGGGGCGATGGCGCTGGGCAATCTCCTCCTCGAGCTTCTGGCGCTTCCGCGACGTCTCCTGGCTCTCCGCCGCGACGAGCCGCGCCGCGAGCTCCCGGCAGCGATCCCGGGTGTGGGGCTTCTGCAGGTACAAAGCCACCAAGCGCTCCCGCTCCGCTGCTGGGCGGCATGGCTCTTCTCGAAGGAGCCCCGCCTCGGAGAAGAGCCAGCAGCGACCCTTGTACTTCCCCCACTCGGCCGCCCCGTGCCGGAGCAGCGCCTCGAAGAGCCTCTCCTGCCTTGGCGCCATGTTCAGCTCTCCGAAGAGCTCCCGGCACTGCTCGAGCCAGGCCTCGGTCTCCGCCGGCTGCTCGGACCAGAGCTCCACGAGCCGCCGGCTCACCACCTCACGAGCACGGTTCGGATTTTGACCTGTCCAAGCATAAATAGCAGCCAACCCGACGAAGGCGTCGATGAGGGTCGCCAGGGCCCAGCCGGCAGGGACTTCGGTCAGCTGAACGAGCCATGTTGTGATAGTCTGCGGCATGGCGGTATGCCTGACGAGCTGGGGCAACGAGGAGCGTCAGAGTCTGACTTCCTGAGCCGTCCGGCAAGCTTCGGCATTCAACAGGCAGCGCTCCAAACATCCAAAGCGTGCCTCACCCCCCGCAAAATCCGTCGGAACTGACATCACTTGCAAGAGCTGAAGAAGCCACGGACCTCTTCGTCTCTCTTGGCAGAACCACAGCCCCGAAGGCGCCAGCCACCTCGAAACCTCGGAGCCGACGCGCAAAGTCGAGAGCCGAAGAGCGGCGTCGTTTGGGGATGGGTCGCAAGGCGAAGAACTTTGGGGCAGCGCCGGGTAGGGGTGCCCTCTGGGCTTATATAGGATGATGAGATCGCTTCAGTGGATGTTCCATTTGTGAAAGACGGTGGAGTCGTGGGTTGGGGCTCGCGCTGTCGTTCCTACGGTATCCGCGGACATCCGAAAGATAAACACATAGCAGGAGCATCGCCCCGCACATGTCAAGCATCACTGGCAACTTCCTTCCATGATGCTTCTAGCCTCCAGAAACTGAAAGACTCGACGGACTTCTGCATCCTGAAGCTAAACAGCTAAACTTCTAGCAACCGGCGTAAACAGTCTCTTAAAGCAAAGAAACACCAAGCCCCCAAAAAGGGAGCCAACTAAGAAGGGAGCCCCTATCTGCACAGAGGAATCCCTTGTTTTTGTTCGGCTCCTTCGGCTCCCAAAGGCGGCAGACCCAGAGGAATTAGGCTACGTCTACGGGAGCTTCGGCTTCGAGGCTCTGGGCTTCTTGAGACTAGTTTCGTATGTGTCGTGGGTGCTTAGACTTCAAGAAAAGCTTGGGCCAGAAGCCTTCTTGGTAAGATATGCCCGAGCTTTTGCGTTTAGGACCTCCTGGCCTAAAAGCCTGCCGCATGCATAAGGGAGCTGCAGCACAAAAGGCTCCTCTACCGGCAGTGGGCAGTGAAGCCGCGACTGTCGGGGCAGGCTCTCTGACCCCTCGCCCTCAAACAGCAACCACACGATGGCCAATACACCCGCAAATGCAAGCCTGAATCCCCAAAGCCCTCAGGTCTGCGAACTCTCAACCAGAATCTCGACTAAGTACAGTAGGAGTTTCGGGATCCAACTACTGGGCCTAGACAACGTCAGCGATGTTCCACGCTTCAACGGCCCCCCACGAACGCACGCTCCCAAACCTCACCACCAGGAAGCCTGAGAAGCGGAATGAAAGCACAAGGCAGTGCCGCGGCAAGCGCCTCAAGCAAGACATCTTATCTCCCGACTTCCAACCATCCTTAGCGAACCGGAGGCCATGTGGGACGTACGGAATTGTAGGGACCCCAGATGGACCCCACATAACAGGATCCTTGAGACCCCTGAACAGAATATTTCGGTACCCTTAAATTCCGATACCCACTTTTTGCTCACAGGTGGCTTCGAGGCCGCCAGCATCTCTTCTGTCGGCATAGGACCATCCTGGAACAGAAGGGCGAGGTGAAATGGGAGTCGCAGTTGAGACTCTCCAGCAGTTGAGCGTTCAGAGATTCGGGATTTCGCAGTTAAGCTCGGGAAACGTTTAGGCTTTCGGGTTTAGGATTTCGATACAGCTTTTGTGTCGAGGACCATTTCTGCTGAGGTCTGCCACACAAGAAGGCCAACGTGAAGAACCTATGATGAATTCGCGAACATCCACAAGACTCTCCAACTGCCTGCAAACAACCGCGATAGTCCCTGCTAAAGCTGCTAAAGAACAAGACAGTCACTGGGTCGATGGCTTCCGCCATGCAGCAACCGCCAGCCCAATTCAAACCCTTTCAACAGCCTAGCAACAGTAACAGTGAAAGTCAAATGGCAGAACCCCTAAACCCTAAACCCTAAACCGTAACCAACTGTTTCCGTCGAAAGCTGCAAACCAGACCCTGAAACCCAGACCCACGACCCACAAACAGGAAAACTCTCAAACCAATAAAACCCTAAAACCTTCAACATTTTGCATCCCAGCTACACGGTGGATCTTCGCGTGCTCGTGCTTGCCGGCCTCCTCCTCACGGCTTTTCATAGCGCCTTTTCAATGGGGTTTCTGCTCCGGTTTGTAGGGGTAGGGGTTTTTGGGTTTGTGTTCAGGGCGTGTGGGCTCAACAGTTTCCGGTCTCGTAGTTCAGGGCATAGGATTTAAGGCTTCAGTGTTTAGGGTTTCGGGGGCAGTTCTGCAGGATTGAAGGTTGACAGTTTCCTAGACTGGGTGACGCGAATAATTCTGAATAGCAATGGCATTCTTCAGGAAGTTGACTTGACGGCTTGAAACAGCCCAGTCGTAGACTACAATGTTCTAACGAATCTAAGCTGCCTTAAGCTCATCATAGCTCAGGGGCCCGAAGCAACAAGAAACCAGCGCGTCGTTTGCACACATCTCAGTGCTCCGAACCCGTTTCCAGCCTAAGCCGAGAAGAACTACAACTACAACAGCCCAGAAAAAACCTGTCTCATCTCTACTTGAGCTCAAACCGTTTCATGCGCGGGCGGCTGAGGTTGTGACTCGGAGGTAACCCTTCCCAACAAATGCTCCAATTTAGGGATGCCTGCTTGCAGGGCGGCCAGGCTCGGAAAGCTGCCGAAACCCCCGGAAAGCTATCCAAACGGTGTACATACTGCTGCATACTACCGTGCCAACACAGAAACTAACACAAACCCTGTCATGTCTTCTGTGAAACCCTACCAGGTACAGTAGATTTTTGGGCTCCCTGTGCCCGGGACTCCTCGCCCCCCCTTCAAGGTTAAGGCCAAGGCCTCTAAAACATCGTTTGAAATGGACTCCTGCCGAACACTCTCAGCCAAAAGCCACGAAGCTCCCATACGTAAGGAAAAGAAACAGCCTCTGTCCTCCATGTCAGACGGAGCGTTGCAGACCTGCCCACATGGGAGGCATCCAGTTTCTGCGGCTTTGGTGTGGAGAGCCAGATGAGTGGGCCGCGCAAGAGCCCTCTGCCGCAGCTCGGTGGATCTGTTTTCCTGCCTCATCGACTCAGAAATCCGTTGGAGGCCTCCTGCGATCTTCGCCGCAGGGGAAACAAAATTGTGAGCACTTGCACAGCTGGAGGATTCATGCAAAGCCTTCGTGCCCACACTGCCCATCCCTTCTTGTCCAACAACTTCCGAACAGTCTTGACAAATATGTGCCGTAGAAGCACAACCCGAAATTGCAGAAACGAAGCTGTGGATGATATCAACTTAGGACCGCGTGCGCTGCACTTTGGGCGACTCCGGCAACAACTCAAGCAGCGCAAGGCACTGTCGGTAAAAGGACCCCGTGCACTGAACGCCTTGACAGAATCACCGGAGAATCACGAATTTGCTGGCTCAGAATGGGCTCAGCACTCGATCTTTTCAATCATGCTGCGGCCCTGAGCAGTATCTCAGTGCATGTTCCAGCCGTGTTGGGCATGGAGGCTCTTCCGTCATCTGCGCTCTCATCCACCGCCCGCACCTGACCTCGACGCCGGCACATTTTTCCACGGCGGGTCGCCGGCTTGCTGTTGGCGCCCTTGCTGAGGATGCAGGGTGGGCACGAGAAGACCGCCACGGAGAGGTTCGGCTTGAACGCGAGCTTCATCACCTCACAGTCGGCAAGTTCTGACACAACCCTCGTGAGGGCCGTGGGCTCCCCGGAATCGAGCATGACCAAGGCACCCGGCTTGAGGCTTCCTGCTGGGACATAGCGGCTGCTGCCTCCACCTTCTCCGTCTTCCACCGCACTGTCCGCAGCTGGGACCTGCACCGGATGGTCTGCTGTGACCCGCAACGTCGCGGCACCAGCCTGCAAGTGGACAACCTCCTGGGCTTGGCACAGCACTGGAGCCTCGCAGACCTCCAAAATGGTCTCGTCGTCCCCGGCCACCACCTGCGACCCTTTCCGGAGGTCCCGGCCCATCAGGAAGAAGTCGACGCCGGAGCTGCGGGTCTTGAAGATGGCGTCCGGCATGAAGCAGTCGGGCTGCACCGAGAACCAAGAGGAGCAGCTCAAGGCGGAGGAGGAGGCCACGCCATCGTCCACCAGAACGTATCCCAGCTCTCCGGTCAGATCCGATTCCTGGCCGCGGGAAGCTGCGTCGACGCTGGGAACTGGGACCTGGTGGGTGAGGCTTTGATGGACGGAAGAAACGCCGGAGTGCGGTGGCTTCGCTTCGGCCAGCTTGCGCTCCAACTCACGGACGCGTTCCTTGTACATGCCCTTCTCTTCCCACAACACCTGCATCTGACCCAACTTCGTTTCTGCTTTAGCCAGCTGCTGCCGGAGCTGCTCGCAGCGCTCCTGAAGTAATGCCTTCTCGAACTGCAGCTCCGCCTTACTCTTGACTTCTTGATCCAGAACCAGGCGGGCCGCCTCGGCCTGCTGGCAGCATTCTTGGCAGCCACGATTCTCCTCTTGCAGCCGCCGCAGCTCCACCTGCTTCGCAACAGCAGACATGGCCTGTGCCAGATCCACTTTCGTCTTGGCAGTGTCAGAAGCTTCTTTCTCTGTTGCCTCCAAGCGTAGTGCAAGCTCCTCGCAGCGCTGCTGACACTTGCCATGCTCGTCCTGCGACTGCCGGAGCTGTTTCTGTATCTCCGCCACAGCTGTCTCGGCAGCTGCCGTGCAAGTTGCAAGCTCCTCGCATTGCTTCTTGCAGTTTGCACTCTCGCTCTGCGCCGCCCGGAACTCAGCAGCCTTGCTGGATGCCCGTTGCTCTGCCGCATCCAGAAGGCTGGAGAGCCGCCGGTCCTGCTCCTGCGATCTATGCAGCTCTGCTTCGAGTTGACGGCGCTGGGAGCTCTCCTCTTCCAGCCTCTGCTGCGATCTCTCGAGTTCGGCTTGGAGGTGCTGTCGCTCCAGGGACGCCACCTCCTGCAGCCTCGCCCGCTTTCTGGCCATTTCCATGCCCTGAGCCTCCGCCTCAGCGGCAGCGAGGCACTCCGCGAGCTGCCGGCAGCGATCGCGAGTCAGGGAATGCTGCAGGCAGTCAGCCGCCCAGGGCTCGCGCTCCGCCACTGGGAGCGGCTCTCCTCGAAGCAGTCCTGCCTCAGAGAAGCACCACAGGTTGTTTGTGCCTGTACTGCCACCGTACCTGCCCCGCTCGGACGCCCCGTGCCGGAGCAGCGCCTCGGCCAGAAGGTCCTGCCTCGTCGCCTTGCCCGCGAGCTCCGTCGCGAAGCGCTCCATGCACCGGGCTACCCAGGCCTCGGCCTCCGCCGGCTGCGAGGCCCAGAGCTCCACCAGCCGCCCACTCAGTGCCTCGCGAGCTCGGTTCGCAGGAGCATCATCTTCACGACAACGAGCCAAGCGGAGGCTGGCGTCGACGACGGTCTCCAAATGCCAACCGGCCGGGACTTCGCTGAGGGTTTTGAGATATGTTTTTGTGGAAGGCTGGGGCGCGGCGGCCTGCTTTGCATAGTTGGTGACGGAAAGCATCGTCATACCAGCGCAGGAAATAAACTTTGGACTGCATGGCCCGAGTTGTCCAGCTGACCTATCCGAGGGTTTTCCTTTGCAGTGGATTTGCGCCAGATCCTAGCAAGCTGCGGACACCAAAGGACAAATTCCTGTTTAACTCGTACTTCTTACAACAGTGCTGCGACCACCGTGGCTGCTTGAAGTTTCGTGAACCACAGACAAAATAGTGTACTTACAAGACGAATCCCCCCCAAAAGACCTGGAGCTGCACAGCTGCAGCCATCGTCGGCGCGAACCTCGAGGCTTGAGACGTGTGAGGTTAGGTCAGGAAGGTTCTGTCCTCTGCTTTCCCGGCCATCTACTTATGGACCGGAAAACTACAAAACAACGAATGGTTGTTTTTGCCCCTACGCAAGAATCCCTATTTCAGGTCTTGCAGCTTTGGATGTAATCATGTTTCGGACGTGGAAGATGCGGCTCGGCGGGTCCTAGACCAGTCCTGCTGCTAAGAATCATGGAATCTAGGAGTGGCAGGTTTGCAATCGTACTGCCTCTGGACTCTGGGGCTTGTGACATTCAAAATTCGAGGCTGCGGCAGTGAAGCCCAGAACTAACCCCGGTTTCATGAAAGCGTTTACAACATGTGGCAACATTTAAGCAACCATTCTTCTACAAAAGCAAGCCGGGCATCCGGCTCCCAACTTAGACCTCCAGACCCCGACCCTCCAAAGAGTCAGCCGAAGTCCAACTCCTTCGAACTCTCGACCCCCACGCAAACGAAGAGATTCGGCATCCGCCAGAAGTTTCGGAGGTAGGGAGAAGAAAGAACTGCTGCACCCGGAACGGATTTCGTGATAAGACGGGGCAAGCCTGGGTCTAGGCCCTAGGCCTCACACGGCCGCGGGATGATTTGACAACGCCCTAAACTGGACAAGTGCGTATCGACTCCTGACAAATCTCAACCTATACTGGGTTCCCCAACGCCAAAATCAACAGAGGTGCCAAATTTAAACTTAATCCCATAACCTCTCGAAACACTGAGTGGGAGAAGGCCGAAAAGTCCCGGAAGCCGAGCTGGAGGAGTCCGAACCGGCCAAAAAGAACGGAAGACAGTTTTCGCGAGTGAGGACTCTTTCCCTTGCTTTTGCTTCACTCGGCCTCCTCCTCGATGCCCCGTTCCACGCAGGAGCGCAAAGAGAGACCTGCCGAGGGCGTTAGAGGCGGGGAGTCCCCCAGGCCAAGATCCAAACTTAAAACCTAGATTGTGTAGGGTATCTAGAAATTCCTTATTGGGATTCATGCCAAGATCCAAACTTAGGGTTCAGGGGTTCAGGGTTAAGGGGTTTGGGATTCGTTGGGTTTAGGGTGAGGGTTTAGGGGTTGGAATCTGGGACTTGGAGTCTTCAGGGTTTAGGGTTTAGTGTCTGTCTAGGGCTTGATCTTCGGATCTTGACCAAAGCCGGGGGAAGCGACATGTCTGCCACGCCTGCTCTACGACTCAAGCGCCTCCCTCTGTGCATCAAGGCCTCTGAAACACCTGTGTCTACACTTCCGTCGATGCTTCCGTTTAGGGCTCAAGGCTCAAGGCCTTGCGAGCTGTCAGTCTAAAGCCTTCGTGACGGGAGACTTCAAGCATGCAACCCCCTCCAAGCGTGCATAAATGCCCCTTGCAAGCTCGACGCCAAGCCTTCCACAAGGCGCAAACCCAGCGGCCCAGCATCAGGCCCCAAAAAAGCTAGCAGCTGGCACATACACAATATCCTCAAGAAACCTTCCGATGTCCCCGAGAAGTCCCGAGCTACTGCACCTGCAACGGCTTTGGGCCTTTCTGAACATGGGACGTTCACACTTCCAAGTGAAAGAGTCCTGTGTGGCAGAGTCAGGGTCAGCAAGAGTTTAGGGTTTAGGGGAGGCTGGGGAAACCGCCAACTTTTTTTGGGGCTTCTGGGCACGTGTCCTCGTGCATTAACCCCAGCTCCCCGTTCTCAAGGCCTGAAGCCCCCAAACACAAGGCAAAGCCTCAACCAATCCCAGGTCCCCAAACAGAGCCTCCCTCGAAGAAGTAATCTAGCTTGCAGAAGACCTCAAAAAAAAGGTTGCAGCGACTTCCTACCTCGCACAGCGAATCTAGAAGCCCGAGTTTCCACGTAACTCCAATGCGAAAGCAAACAAACCGCTTGGGTCCTCCATATCACACCATCGCAGACCTGCCGAGGTGGGAGGCGGCTTTATGGGATGTGGATTAGATGGCTTGCGATGGTGCAAGGTTCAAAGCACCCCGCTTCCGAGGCACTTCGTCTTCGGCGTGGTGAGCAGATGCTGCCACTGCAGCGGCTTGGGGGACCTGTTTCTCCTGCCTCGTAAACTCACGAACCGCGGCCGGCTTGCGATCTTCTGCGCAAGATGAACAAAATTGCGAGCCCATTCGTCACTGGAAGATTCATGCAAAGCCTTCGTGCCCACACTGCCCATCCCCTCATTGTCTCAGAACTTGCCAAGAGCATTGAGATACATGCCATAGAACCACAACCAACAGTTTCAGAAACGAAGCTCTGGATGACATCAACTTGGGACCGCGTGCGCTGCACTCTGGGCAACTCCAGCGACAACTCAAGCGACGCAAGGCACTGGCGGTTAAGCGGCCCCGTGCACTAAACGCCTCGGCAACATCACCGGAGAATCAAAAATTCGCTGGCTCAGAACGGCTTAGGTCTTCATGAGTGCCTGCTCAATCATGCTGCACCTGCTGCGCCCCTGAGCAGTATCTCAGTCGATGTTCCAGCCGTGTTGGGCATGGAGGCTCTCCCGTCGTCTGCGCTCTCCTCACCCTTTGCCCGCTGCCCTCGGCTCCGGCACTTCTTCCCACGGCGCGTCGCGGGCTTCCGGTTGGCGCCCTTGCTGAGGATGCAGGGTGGGCACGAGAAGACCGCCACCGGCAGGTTCGGCTTGAAGGCCAGCTTCAGCACCTCGCAGTCGCCCGATTCTACCTCAACATTCGTGAGGACGCCGGGCTCCCCGGCATGGAGCATGACTAAGTCACCCTCCTTGAGCTGTCCTGCTTCGACGTAGCGGGCGCTGCCTCCGCCCTCTTCATCATCCATGGCATCGTCTGCTGGTGGGACCTGGACCGGATGTTCTGCCGTGACCTCCAGCATCGCAGCCCCGGCCTGCAAGCGGACGAAACCTCTGGCCTGAGACCACACCGGTTTCTCACACACTTCCACCATGGTCTCGCCATCCCCGGCCACCACTTGCGATCCCTTCAGGAGATCGCGGCCCTTCAGGAAGTGGTCCCTGCCATCGGTGCGGGTCTTGAAGATTGCATCCGGCATGAAGCAGTCGGGCCTCACCGAGAACCAAGAGGAGCAGCTCCAGGCGGAGGAGGAGGCCACGCCATCCTCCACCAGAACGTACCCGAGCTCTTCAGTCAGATTCGACTCCTGGCCACTGGAGGCTGCGTCGCCACTGGGAGTTGGGCCCTGTTGGATGAGGCTGGCATAAGGGGTGCGTGGCGACGTCGCCCCGCACTCCAGCTGCCTGCAACGCTCTTTGTAAGTGGCCTTCTCTTCCCGCAAAACATGCATCTGGCCCTCTGCTTTGGCAAGCTGCTGCTGGAGCTGCTCGCACCGCTCTTGGAGCCTTGCATTCTCGAGCTGTAGCTCCACCTTGCTCTCAGACAAAACCCAGCGGGCCGCCTCCGCCTGCTGGCAGCGCTCCTGGTAGCCACGACTCTCCTCTTGCAGCCGCTGCAGGTCCAGCCTCCTTTCCGCGGCATCGGCTTCGGCCTGCGAGAGACGCTCCTTCGTCGTTGCATGCTCAGCTGCTTCTGCCTCCAAACGATTCGCGATCTCCTCATAACGCTCCTGGCACTTGCCGTGCTCTTCCCGCAGCTGCCGGAGCTCCTGCTGCATCTCCGTCACAGCTGACTCCGCAGCTGCAGTGCGAGCTGCGAGCTCTTCGCGCTGCTCTTTGAAATCCGCACTCTCGCTCTGCGCAGTTTGGAGCTCCGCATCCTTGCTAGACACCTGCGCTTCCGCCGCAGCCAGGCGATTGCGCAGCTCTCGGCCCTCCTCTTGCGATGTTTGCAGCTCCGCTTCGAGGCGTCGGCGCTCGGAGGTTTCCTCCTCGAGCTTCTGCCGCTTCCGCGCCGTCTCCAGGCTCTCTGCCGCCACGAGCCGCTCCGCGAGCTCCCGGCAGCGATCGCGGCTGTAGGAGTTCTGCAGGTACCGAGCCGCTGCCGCCTCCCGCGCCGCTGCTGGGCGGAGCTCGCCTCGAAGGAGTCCCGCCTCGGAGAAGTGCCAGTTGCCGAAGTACTTCCCCCACGCGGCCGCCCCGTGCTGGCGCAGCGCCTCGCGGAGCCGCTCCTGCCTCGTCGCCATGTTCAGCTCTCCGAAGCGCTCGAGCCAGGCCTCGGCCTCCTCCGGCTGCGAGGCCCAGAGCTCCACGAGCCGACGGCTCACCGCCTCGCGAGCTGGGTTTGCATCAGCATGATATTCTGGATGATAAGCACCCAAGTGGACGAAGGCGTCGATGACGGTCGTGAGCGGCCAGCCGGCAGGGACTTCGGTCAGCTGAAAGAAATATTTTGCTTTGGACTGCTGGGACATGGCGGCGCAACGCGGTGGAACGGCCTCGGATTCGAAGCTGTGTGCCTCGAATATATTCCGTTTATCCGAGACCAGCCAGCGCAAGCTCTGGGCTACCTCTACGTCAACACGCGACACTGCCCAAACCACGGGCCCCGGACCTGCAGCAGCACCGGGAAGCGTGGATCCGGCGTGCGAGCTCGCGATCCTGGATAAGTCTCGAGTTCAAGTTGCTGTCGCGAGTCGCGAAGCGTGTATCTGGACAGATGCTATACTCGTTTCAGAGGATGTTCAAACGGCGTAAACTGCTGAGTCTTGGGTTTTCCGATATGGTGCGGAGGCTGCCGATCCGTGGCGAGAGAAGGGATCCCAGGACACAGCAGTCTCGAGAAGGCTGACGCAGCACCGGGAGCCCGAAGCCGAAACCCCGAACCGCAGCCCTGAAGCACAAAAAAGGACAAAACCCTTCCCCTGGAGTCCGAAGCACACCCTGAGTCGAAGCCCTTCAAGCCTAAAACCCCAACCCCTGAAACCCCCAAACCCCCAAAACCCCAAAACCCCATGTCAACAAAACTCTCGAGCCTCTCAACTTTCAGCAGGCCGCGGAAACTTAGCAACTCAGCTCCGCTTGCGGGTCGTCGGTGTCAGGCAGTGCCACCTCGCTAAGGCCCATATAGGGCCTACAAGGGAGTAATACCGCTGCTGCTTAGTCCCACTCCTCAGTTCACTTACTGCTCAACTTAGTGAGTAGCCTTATTGGTCGTACAGATGGATGTCATGACCTCGTCCACGATCGCTGCAATAGCTATGGTCATACTGATGGCATGGGGGGAGTTAAGCTCGCAGAGTTCTTGTGGCACCTAGCCGAAGCAAGTCTTCTCGATACTGCACCAGCCAAAACCCCAAATCTCCCGAAACCCCAAATCTCCCGAAATTCGCAAAGCTAGCAACTGCTCCTTGACCCCCGACGTCCCTCTTCACGCTACGGTGGGTGTAGATTGTAACGGCTCAGCGCAGGGTTGAAAAGTTGCAGCGGTCCTCTAAATTAGGCTCCCCTCTAGGGTCCTTGGCATAAGGGTGCCGGTACTATTTTGGGGACCTAACGAAGGGGACCCATTTGCTGCCAAGGAGCACTTCGAGACTCGAGGCTCTCCTCCTGTGAGCTGCCGGTGGGGCTTAGTGCTTTTGTGATCATATGGGAGTTTCCGAAATTTGGGGGTACCTCATTTTAGGGGTCCTTATAATAAGGATCCGACTATTTAGGGTACTATATTAGGGTCCCCTATTTTCGGAAACTCCCATATGGGGGGCCTATCAATAAGCAGAAAAAGGGTTTGGGAAGGGGCCTATCTAAAACTCTGGTAAGGTATAAGACACTGTTGCCAGAAAGTATCTCGATCTCAATATAAGTGGTTAGGGTAATTGGCTAGAGCTTAGGGAAGACAGCTTTCGACAGCCAGCTGATCGTGGCGATGTCAGTACTACTCCAGCTGCCCAAAAAAAACCCACCTTTCACATCGACATTTAGAGCGCAGGGTTCCGAACTTAGCCATTGCTGTGGACCCAAATCCCCAAACCTCTTACCCCATGAACTCCAACCCTCAACACCGCACCCCCCCCCCCCTCCATCGAATAAAAAGAACGAACCCGATCAACTCCCCCAAGAAACGCTGAAGCTCCCAAAGCCTCTCTTCTGCTTCGCTGGCCTCCAGGCAGTGGATCCCATGCAGCTGCTTCAAAGCAGCCGGGCCCAGGCCCCACTCCGAAAAGAGGCCTGGGCCAACGAACCCTGAGATTTTAAGCGGCCTTTTGGGGCGAGGGCGTAGGACGTAAAACTTTGTTAAGTTTCAATCGCAGGAATGAGGCTCCGGCTCACAGGTTCTTTGTTCGCCACATTTCGCCACACTCTCTCCGCCTACAGACCGCTTCGGGGGTTCTGTGCCATGGAAAGTAAGCCGAAGGTGGAGGGGGGAGTGTGCAAGAGCTGGGAGTTGAGTGTGGGATTCAGGGTTCGGGCTTCCTACATTCGATGCGCGGCAGGCTTCGCAGCATTTCTGGGGTCAAGGGCTCTGTACGGTATAACTCTGAGCTCAACTACCTGGACTTCATACCTTGCGGTGCAACCGGGAGCCAGGCCGTGGTGCATCGGGAAGAAGGGGATGTAGAAGCGGAGGCATCTCCAGTGCCCGTAGAGCGTGCAGATCTGCAGGAACGTGGAGCCGGTAGATCTCAAGCCGAAGGCACCCCCAGAAATTTGCAGCTGGGGCCTTGAGGCTTGCGATTTCGAGGAGAGGGACCACCAGGACGACGACGACGACTGCATCGTCAAAACGCTGCTGCATATCCGTGATCACCACCTCGCGAGCTCGATCATACCAAAGCCACAGACCTGTATGCTCCATTCGAGCGCACTTGACTCGTCATGGCACAAGTTCCGCATGCCCAGAACCAGCCGCCACCACCTCAAGGACTTCACTACGTCCGTTGCACCGGTAAGCACCGACCAGAAGGCGCCAGGGTGTGAAGCGCAGGCCGCCACAGGAACTTGTCATGCCTTCTTGGATTCGGTACTCGCAGCTGGCAGATTCTCCTTTCGCCGTTGCTGAGGTGACTGTGCAAAGGGAGGCGTGGCCTCAGCTAAGGCTGCTGTACCCGATTCACTGGCAAAAAATCTGTCCAAGGCCCATGCCATACGAAGCCCTGAAGCACTTGCCATTCGGGGCAGCGACCTTCAATCAGGATCTGTCATCTTGTGCAAACACTTTGGAAGCCAATGCCTGATCGCAACTGAGGCATCGCTTCTTATGGCAAAGCTTAGGGTACGGGGCTGATCGTTGTCGTCACAGTCGCATCGTCATCGTTCATCAGCAGACACATGATGATTATGAACTCACTTCTCACAGCTTCCGCCAACAAGCAGGCTGAAGGAACGTGTTGGGCCGGGGAAGGTTGGTGAGCACCCAAAGGCCCAAAGGGAACAGCCGCTGTTCGAACACGTTTTTCCTGCAGATCCTGCACATATTCAACGATTTGAAAAAGGAGCGGTGGCCAATTGTTCTGGCAGCTCTCTTAAAAAGCCGCTTCGACCCACTCATCCAGCTCCTCGTCCGCGAGCGCATCTTTCCCTTCGCCAGAGCCTGGCTCCTCGAGAGGTTTTTGCAAGGTCTCCCACTCGGTGAGAGAGAAGAGCAATGTAAAGACGATGAGACCCAGCGAACCCGCGATGACTGCCACAGATCCAAGGGAAGTCATCAAGGATGATGGCCCAAAGTCCCAGCCAAGTACCTCCGGATCCTCGCTTTCGGAGGACAGGATCAACAGGCCGAAGACCAGGTTCGTAAAGAGCATCTGCTGCGCTATCTCTGCAGTCGTCGTAGCCGTGGGGTTTGCGTAGGGCTGAAAGCGCTGCAAGACCTTCAAAGAGAGCTGGCAGGCGAAGAGCCCGACCACCACCTGCAGCCAGGATCCCGAGGCGATGAAGGCCAAAGCGCCACTCAGAAAGATCTTCCGCAGGCTTTCGAAGACTTCGAAGTACATGCAACTTGGCTTATAATCGTCAAAGATGAAGAGCAAGTGCTTGATCGTCGGATCATTATCCCGCTTCATGATGGTAGCCAGCTCCCTGCACTCCTTCGGCCCAGCCTTGTATCGGCTGCTCTCCTTGCTCTGAAGAGAAGTGGACACATTGGAACTCCTCGAGAAGCTCCTGGAGAGGTTGGAAGCAATCCTGGAGATCTTTGAGGCAGTCCTGGAGAGACTTGATTGCAAGAAACCTCCTTTCAAGGAGCTCTCCAGAATCTCCTGGGCCTTCCAGATCTCCTCCTGGCTCACCTCAGGGTTGATCGCCTGCAACAGGGGCACCATTCGGGGGGGTTCAACAGAACACTCTTTCTTACACTCGGAATCTAAGTTTCGCCAGGGCAACGTGTTTTTGCAATCTGTTGACCATGATTGAAGCAGGTTCCTTTCGCAAGCGGCCCGACAAGGCCCTAGCCGCTAGCCCTAGGCGGAATCGGAGAAGCGGGGGACGAAGAATCGGGAACAGGCAGGGCCCTTGCCTTGCGATGTCGCCACAACGTTATTGCCATCCAAATGGGAATGCCCGCTGGGTAGACTGCTGTCATACAGGCTGCGTAGACGATGTAGTGTTGGTGGATGTCCGTGTCGCAGTTGATGGCCAGATCTGCCTGCAGGAATCTTCCCACTTGCCCGTCATCCAAGTCGAAGGACTGGCACTTGAAAGTGTCAAAGATGGTGCTCGACGCTGCAGGGAGTACCAAGTACGCCACCATCAATGCCACACCGAAGAAGCCGGACTGGATTTCAGCACGTTGTTGCGACTGAGCCTTCAGCCAGCACACACGCAATTGGCAGATCAATGCAAGGATCACCCACAAGCTGATGGGCAGTAATGTCGTCACCAAAAGGCGATCGTAGAAAGTGTTCGGGTGGACACAGTCTGCTGGAACCACTTGGAAGATCGAGAGGTTGAACATGCTCAAGACCTCCATGAATTGCAACAGTGCAGCCGGCCACGTGACGAATCTGAAGACTCCGGGGATCGTGTTCAGCACCTGCAGAAGCGAAACTACGATCTTGAGCTTCGTGTTGATCTCTTTCAGCTTGGCATGCGCATTGCCTTTGCCTACCATCCTCGTGAGAGCCCTTTTGATCCCCTGGCGCAGGCAGACCCAAGCCACCAGAAACAGCGCAAGGAAGGACACCAGCCACTGTTGCGGTCCCCAAAATGCACCGTTGGAGGAGCAGGGCGAGCATTTCTTCGTGTTGAGATCATAGAAATGTTCCGGCCAACAGACTGAGCAAAGGGGGCCCATGTGGCCTTCCTCACAACCTTCGTCTCCGACTACGTTGCCACCTCTGCCATCTCTCATACGGCCCATCGTGGGCTTACTAAAGGGGGTTTATCTAGAACTTCAGAGCTCTACAACCATTTTGGAACTCGAGGAAGTGGTGGGCGGCGGGGTGCTTACTCAGAAGAAGACCTATGCACACACACCAAGTCCTGAAGTGAACTAGTCCGAACCCCCCAAAATACCCCCATTATACCCTACAGAGTCTCGGGAAGAGTCCAAAGGCATGAAAAAGGCCTGTGCAAGCATCTACGCTGCATGGGAGGATCTCCTCTACAAAGCGGCCAGCTCGCCAGAAGCCCCGCGAGAGGTTCAGGTTCTCCAGCACAGAGGCACCTGACAAGGGGCTGGTATACGGGTCTTTGGCTGTGGAGTAGTGGACGCGGTTGATGCATGGCGCTTAGGGTTCTGCTTCTGTTTGGGGTCCTCACAGGATTTGCTGTTCCCCTTGAGAGTCACCTGGGCATATCACGCCCTCAGGGCACAATTTGCATTCGGAACTGTTCGATTCGTAGTACAGCTCCTTGCAGCTGCATTTGGCGACAGGATCCAGTCGTTGGCTGTGCGGAGGGCACGGGATGCAATCTGCAGCACAAAGCGGGCAGCTGCTCTGATTTTGGAAGACCTTGTAGAAGTTGGGCGCACAGGATCGTGCAGCCGGCACAGGGAACTCAAAAGGAGCCTGCGCAAATTCGGTTGGGAAGAGGACTGGTAGATCGACGGGACCCGTTAGGGTCGCTGTTGGCGGATCCATCCCGTTTATCTGTCCCAAGGGGCTAAAGGAGGCTGGGCCACCAAAGGTCTGTCCAAAGTCCTCGCCGGAGAGTATGAGCTTGCGCACTGCTGTGTAGACATCGGGGTCGGCCACCGAGTGGAGCAAATTCGTCGGATCTTTGACTTCGCGATACTGGAAGACAGCCTGGACTGCTTGGAGAAATGCAGACAGACCCACCTCGAAGTTGTAATCACCGGGAACTCCGGGGAGATTCGAGTATTCCGCTCCCGTGAGGCCGAGGACTCCATCCCGAAGAGAGTCAGTAATGTTGGGGAAGGCGATGGTCTGCGCGCCTGTAACCAAGTGCTTGCATCTCTCTCCATAGCTGAAACATAGAGCACCCTCTCGCGGCCAAGGCAGGTTCACGGCGAAGAGGCCATCAGGGACTTGAAGCTCACGATGCTTCTCAAGGCTCGCAATGAAAGGGCCCAAATCCGCTCCCCTAACGGCTGTGAAGACGACATCTACTTTCATGGCAACGAGGCGTTCGACAGCTCTCTCTATGTCGGAGGCTGCTGTTTCAGTCCGTATACTGTCGTGCAGCTTGATCACGATTCCGGCATTCTCCAGATGTTTCTTCGTTCCCATGCGAACTCCATCCAAGAACTTGTTGTCGCAGCAATAGGAAAGGAGCGCCGCGGTTTTCGCACCTTTCAAAGCAAATTGCTGAGCCGAGACCTTGGCATAATCTGAGGAGTCTAAGTGGGAGCTGAAAGCCCATGGCAATGATCCAGCTGCCTGTGACATCTGGCTCCAGGGCCCTCGTGGGGTCATCCAAATTCGTTCCGTGGCATTGGCAATCTTGGCCTGTTCCACTATTAGTGCATCAGGACAGCCGTTGCCCATACCCGCAATGTAGGACCAGCTGGGAAAATGCTGCCTGCTCAAGGCTTCACCATGCGTCCAGTTGTCAAAAGCAAGCCGTGTATAGTTCAGCTGGTAATAGTATTTCTCATAGGGCGTGGATTGAGCAATCTCCAAGCCAGCTGAATGAACCATGAAGCCTTTCCCACCGTTTAAGCGGTTGACCGCATCTAGGTAAGGCTGCAACCTCCTCCCGTCACAATCGTGCTCCAGCGCGTCCGAGAGGAATCCATCACGGTTGGAGTCTCTGTGGCGATACTCAAAAATACTCCCCAGCTGCAAGTAACAGGGTTCTGTCGCATGCCAGGTGCATGGAGGCTGAGTGCGAGCAAGGAGGAAAACAGAAGTGAGTAAGCAGGTGCCAAGGGCATGCTTTCGCATCTTGGCAGCCGGAAAATGCCCGCTTGACCTTCTGAGGCTCCCAGCAGCCAGCCTAAACATTCGAGCCAAGAGCAGCCAAGGATGCAATCACTTTCAGAAACACTACCAGTGCCCAGCACATCCCAGCGAGGCAAAGGCCCAAGTTGCCCAGAAGTCCGGACGAAGCCCCAAGCCTGGAGCCCGCTCTATTGGACTATATGGATCCTGTATATTAGGCAGATCACACATTCTCTTTGCCCAAGGAGGAACTTGAGGAATCTGCCACTGAGCCAACGACAGCCTTCACAGCCCTGCAGCTGCAACGTCAGCGGCAGCTACCGCAGTGGCCTCGAGAGGGTTCCGCTCGGCTGAGAAACCTGGCCCTGCTAGGGTCTGGCCTTACTATTGGCAGCTTCACTGGAGGTTCCAGCCTTTTTGGGGGGAGATGTTCTCTGCAGCCTTTTGTGTGAGCGGCTGTCGAGAGCCATGGAACCTCATAGTCCTAACTCCTACAGCAAAGGAGCCTGTAGCTGGACGGAGGTTCATCGCATGGAATCTCGAGGTACCGGAGTGATAGGCTTGGAATTTTGGACTGCCTCTAAGAGCATTTGCGGCATGCAAACTTGGGAGTACAGAACGACATTTGTTGATAACGGCAAGAACAAGTCTGATGACTCGGACACTCCAGCTGAGGCCTATCGGGCCGAAGATGGCCCAAGGCCAGAAGCCCCACAAGCCCAAACAGCCACAGAGCCACAACCTTTTCGTGATCCTGCTGTGATATTGCCGAGGCGTCATCTGAAGGTTCTGCAATAGCTTGAACTCGAGATCCCCAGCCCCCACAAACAGCCGAAGCCCCAACGCCCTCCGGCTCTCGTCCCACGGCAGCAACGCCCAACCAACAGCTTCGGCGTCCGCTGAGGCCTCGCCTACGAAGCTCCGAGACGACGAGACATGAAAAGCCCTTGTGACAGGAGTTTGGGCTTTCGAGATGAAGGAATGTAGGCCTAGAGGCCTCGACTCATCTTTCAGCCTGAACCCCTGGAGCTCCCGACAAGCCCGAAGCCCCGGGAACCTGCTCTGCCCGACTGCCTCCGCTGCGCCGCCTGAAGGCGAAGATGCCTTCGATGAAGCTCAGAAGGCTCGCACTGCATGTGGACGAGTGCCTGTAGACACCCTATATTGACCTCGAAAGTTATTTATTGCCCGAAAGAGAGAGAAACCCAGACCCAAACTCGCCCCGAGGGCCGAGTTGAATCTTTCCTAACCCTGAAGCCCAACACGTCACAAAACCACTGGGGCTTAGTATGGAATTGGGGAATGGAGTATGGAGACGAATCTTGGGGATTATGTGTAGGGACTACTCTAGGGATCCTTTCCCCCCATTCCCCTCTAAGCACTTACAGGGCGGCTTACAGACTAAAAAGCATCCGAAAAGCCCTAAAGGCCGAGTTGCAGGAGTCCGAGACGGCGAAAAAGGAACGGTCGCCGGAAGACATGTTCCTGGGCTCAGGGCTCTGGGTTCAAGGTTTAGGGCTTCCGGGTCCAAGCATCCAAATCAGATAGTGCTGGGTACCAAAAACCATCCGGAGCATACTCAGAGCAGTCGCTTAACATCCTATAACCCAGCCGGTTCAGCACTTAAAGCTAGATTCGTTCTGGAGTCTCCTGCAACCTGGCCACGGTAGACTTGAAGACTGCTGAGACGGCTTGGAAATGCTGAAAACCTCGCCCGGGCAGGACAAAGGCAGTCCCTCAACCCACACCGGTCACCACCCTGACTTCAAACCACAAAAGCACGAAACTAAAACAAGAGCACACACGCCAAACAAGAACAAAACAACGATAAACCTCCCCAACTTCCTGGACGAGGGGCTCTTCAGAAGGGCTCGGGCCGCTTCCGATACAAGTACCTCCGCACCGGAGCTGCAAGGGAGCTCTCTTTCTTTTGTGCCAGCACTGGAAACTTGGTTGGGCTTCTTTCTAAAAGACGATGTCGTTGGCATCTTTTTGATTTAGGGCGCCTCGGTCTCTTCGAGCTCCGACAGCTCCAGGAAGGGGCCAATGGCCTGGCGCAGGAAGCTCGGCCGCAGTGGGAGGGCCATGAATCTGAAATCGAAAGAGAGGAGACACTTCAGCACAGAGCGGGAGAGGCAGAGCAGGCGGATACGCTGCGAGCACACCCCCCTTTTTTGGGCGTCTTCCACGAGACGAGAGGCGTCAGACCGAGGCTCCGGGGAGAGGCCGCCTGTTTGGTCGTGCGCGTGTTCACCACGCGCCCTCAAGATCTCCGTGCGGATAGGAAAATGCAGGCTGAATGATTCTATGCAGATGCAGAGATCGTATATATTAGGATATATGATTGCCTTAACCTCTCCTGGTCTGTATGTGTCCATTTTGGAGGATGTCATGAGACAATCTGGCACGGGTCGACTCAGGAAAGGGCTCGAAACAAAAGGCCTGGAAAATAGAAACACCAACAGTATCAAATAAGACCTGCCTCATTTGGATAGTAGTCACAATATTAAAATCCTCTGCCCCGTCCTCAATCCAAAACGAGGGCGTCCCTGCCGTCGTCTGCGCAGGGAAACCAAAACTGCGAGCCCAACTCTCCTGGAAGATTCTTCGAAAGCGCGGTGCAGGCACTGCGAAGCCAAGGTTACATCCCATCTCCGCAGCATTCGAAAAATGCACTTTGCAAAAATTGCATACATCCGGCAGCTATGTATCAGATGCAACCTCGGAGCGCGTGCGCTGCACTCAGCATGCTCAAGCAACAGTATGATCAAGCAGCGTTCCACAGTGGGCACTGGCCGAGCGGCCGTGCGCTGAGCTGCCTGAAGGCGTTGCGCAACTCTGCGAATTCTCGGGCTCTGGGCGCGCTCGAGTCGTGCTGGTATGTCGGCTCAGTCCATGTACTCCCCGGCGGCCGTATCCGGAATGGAAGCCCCCTCATCGATGGGATCGACGGCCTCCTTGCCTCTCTGGCACATGCCACCACGACGCGCCGTCGTCGGTTTCTTCTTGTGGCCCTTGCTGAGGATGCAGGTTGGGCTGGAGAAAACCGCCACAGGCAGGTCTGGCTTGAAGACGATCTTCAAAACCTTGCATTCCATGGGACGGGTCTCGGCACTGGTAAGGGCCACCGGCTCCCCTGCATCAAGCATGACGAAGTCGCCCGCCTTCAGGTTGCCTGCGGGGACGTAAACGCGACCTGCTTCGCCACTCTCATCCGGGACCTGCACGCGATGGTCCGGGGTCACCCGCAACATGGCAGCACCCGCCCATAAGTCGACCACTTCCCCAGCTTGGGCTTCCTTGGAGATCTCGACCACCTCCAACAAGGTCTTGCCATCTCCGGCCACGACCTGCGACCCTTTCTGGAGGTCCCTCCCTTCACGAAGCACGTCCATGCGGACCTTGAACATCGCATCCAGCATGAAGCAGTTCTGCTTCACCGAGGACTGAGATGAGCCACTCAGGATCGAAGCTCTGTCCTCATCCACAAGGTTGTACCCAAAATGCTCCGCAAGATCCGACTCCTGTTCACTGGAAACTGTGCCGCTGGCGAAGTTGCTGTGGTGGGACTCCTGCTCTTGCTTCTTCTCCTCATGAAGCTGTCGCTCCAGCTCGCGGATGCGCTCCTTGTGCATGCCCCTCTCGTCCCACAGAGCCGAAAGCTGGCCGAGCATCGCCGACCTCTCAGCCTCCGCTTTGGCCGAGGTTTGCTGGAGCTGCTGGCGGAGCTGATCGCACCGCTCCTGGAGGACGGCCTTCTCGAGCTGCAGCTCGGCTTTGCTCCCCGGCTCTTCTGTCAAAACCGAGCGAGCCACCTCTGCCTGCTGACTGCGCTCCTGGCAGCCGCGAGTCTCCTCTTGCAGCCGCTGCACCTCCAGCCTCCTTTCCGCGGCATCGGCTTCGGCCTGCGAGAGACGCTCCTTCGTCGTTGCATGCTCCTCCTTCAACTGCCCGAGCTCCTGTTGCATCCTTGCCGCCGCGGTCTCGGCATCTGCAGCGCGAGCTGCGAGATCTTCGCACCGCTCCTTGCAGTTTGCACTCTCGCTCTGCGCAGTTTGGAGCTCCGCATCCTTGCTGGACACCTCCGCCTCCGCCACAGCCAGGCGATTGCGCAGCTCTCGGCCTTCCTCCTGCGACTTCTGCAGCTCCGCTTCGAGGCGCCGGCGCTCGGAGGTCTCCTCCTCGAGCTTCTGCCGCTTTCGCGCAGTCTCCAGGCTCATCTCAGCCGACACGAGCCGCTCCGCGAGCTCCCGGCAGCGATCCCGGGTGTGGGGCTGCTGCAGGTACCACGCCGCACAGCGCTCCCGCTCCGCTGCTGAGTCCTCCGGCTCTCCTCGAAGGAGCCCCGCCTCGGAGAAGTACCAGGGGCCGCCCTTGTACTTCCCACACTCGGCCGCCCCGTGGCGGAGCAGCGCCTCGCAGAGCCGCTCCTGCCTCGTCGCCGTCTTCAGCTCTCCGAAGCGCTCAAGCCAGGCCTGGGCCTCCGCCGGCTGCACGGCCCAGAGCTCCACCAGCCGCCCGCTCAGCGCCTCGCGAGCTCGATCCGCAGGAGGATAGCCAAGAAAAGCAGCCAAGTAGACGAAGGCGTCGATGACGGTCGCGAGCGACCAGCCTGCAGGGACTTCGGTCAGCTCTTCGAGCAACTTTGCATCAGACTGCTGGGGCATGGCGGTCTGGCTGCGGAGCTCGGAAGGCGGGGGACGGACGGGCCGAAGGATTCGTCGTTTTGATCCTCTCAACGGCTGAAGGACATTTGTACAAGGAGTCCTCAGCATTTCTCCTGACACGATTCCATGCAAAGCAGAGTCTCACCTCCGTCACCAGCAGGCCTGGACTTTCATGCACGTCCAAAGTTACTCCCGAGACCTCCATGTCCCCAACAAACCAGGAACCAGGGCCCTGGACCTGGAGCCGCACCGGCAAGCGCCGGCTGCCGGGTGTGCGCGAAACGCCACTTCACGTAGGCCTCGGATCCAGCTTGCAAGGTCACAGACGTGTCGATTTTTTGACTGGGAGGTTGCCGCGGCAAAAGTGGCTTGGAGCTGTGGCTGTGCGTTGCTGAGGGAAGGAAGCGACGGCTGAGCGGTCGGTGGGCTTTGGGGGGTATCCCCAAGCAAAAATGCTTCGCTGTGGGATTCAGGGCCTCAGCTCAAGCTTGACCACATTCGAGTTCTATCGAAGGGGAGCATGCCTGGAGCCGGTTCTGCTCGCAAGGCTGGAGCCGGTTCGATGCTGGAAAGCTCGCTCTCTGATCTCAAGAGGTGCCCCGAGGATTTGGAGCCGCTGCAACCTACGGAGCCCTGCACCCCGACATCCCCAAAAATCTCCCAAAGCCTCAACGCAAAACCCATAGACAGTCAGATTAAAACAGAATCAGGAGCTGCCAGCGATGGGCTCCCTATCAGAGCCGCAAAACGGAGCCGGCCCCGAACCGCGACACCAAATCTGCCAAGAAAGCTGCTGTTTACGCTATATGAGTTGAGGCGCCGTCAGGCTTCTAGGAATGATGCTGCAGGCTTCTACCGTACACGATCTTACCGACTGAGATTCCATGAAACAAGGACGGGGCCTCGGCTAGCCTGGTCCTCAGCCTGTTGAGCCTGAAGCTGGTGCCGAAACATCCCATCCCAACCTTGAAAGTCTCAGGCTTTCAGGAATTCTGAGGGCTCTGAGGGAAACTTCGGATGCTGCATTGACTTTGGGGTGCTGATGGCGATGGTTGTGGCGTCAGGGTTTTTATGTTATAGGCTACAGAGCTGTACGAAAGCAACCAAGCGCCGGGCCGGATTGCGGCTCCCGGACGTCGAAGTGGAGTCGCACGGGGGCTGCTGTGAGCCGCAGTTTTCGCCGAATGTGAAAGCTTTTTGGTACAGGTTTTGGGACAAACGGGTATGAAATACAGGAAGCCCGAGCCCCCCAAGCAACACCCTCAAAGCCCAAAGTCATGATTTGCATGGGATCCCTCTCTCCCCGCGCTACACCTCCAATGGCGTTCATGTTGGGGTACATCGCCGTCAGCGTAGCCTACAAGAATTGACTGCAGAGAAGACGAAGGTGTCACACGGGAGCTTCAAGCGCCCACACATCTTACCAACCACACCGCACGGCCGAGGCCAGCTTTTCTGCTCCGTCCGCTGCGGTCACACAAGCTTTGGGCACCGGGCCGTAAGGTTGAAGGGAGTAGCTGCAGATCTGAGGGTGTTCGCAATGCAGGATTTCCGAACTTGTGGAAACGAGGAAAGATCAAGTCGGTGCTTACGCTTTAGCTTCGCCCATAAGTGCCGGCCTGGGTCCCCACCCTTTTGGGGGGATCGCGGCGTCGGAGCCTTCTTCTAATTCGGGCCCAAGGCTACCGGACCGCTTGGTCCTCGAAAGGAAATCCCCAACACCCTCATAGCCTTCAGGAGATTACCGGTAGCCTGACCCGTCTAGAGAGGGCGGTGACGCTTCTCTGAGGCTCCCTTTCCGATCTCTTTGCAAGAGCTCCGAAACTTCACAAGAAGTTTCGAAGGGGAGTCCCAGTTACGGAGCCCACCGCCCCCGGATTCCTGTTTCAGAAACCTCGTTCAACGAAGCGAGCTCCCGAAGCGGGCGCGCTGGCAGGTTGCCATCATCAACGTTCGGGGTGTTTCGCACGGAAGGCATATAGGAGAAAGCTCACCTTAAGTCTCCTAGGCTCATCGGGTTTCTGGGTTTGTGGGAGTTGTATGGTCAGATCATACAGGATTCATGGAGTTTTGGTGCAGGCCTACGGGCGCGGTTCTCGAGGTTCAGGCGGCGCATTTCAAGCTTGCAGGAAGGTTGTGGAAGGTTTGGAGCTCGGCAAAGCTAACACTTCCCTGAGCCTCGATCCTTTAAACGGGTCCACATGTCACGTAATAAGATGAGATTCTCGATTCTGATCTTGCGTGTAGAAGGGTTCATGTGAATAGGTTTGGCACAGACACGCCTTGTCAGTATCAGCTAGCTGTGATCTTGCGAAACCAGTATTCAGTTGCTGCAGTAAGTGCTGCCTGCACACCCATTCCGTGCAAACCTGCACAGCTCATCGCGGAAGAAAGGACCTGAAGCAGCAGAGGCCAATCGTTGAGCTCTAACCCTGCCCCGGTCTCTGGAAGACAGATGTGCTTGCCCTACTGCCAAGTTGTGATCTGGGTCTCCGCAGTGGGAGACACAGTCATCAGCGTCCAGCACCGCAACCGGCTAAGACGTCATACAAAAACATACACGCGCCTGCCTAAATCGATCCCAGCTGTGCCATGTATTTCACGAGACGAGAAGAAAGCAAGCTTTCAGGAATTCCAACTCCGAAACCCTGGGAGCCGGGCTTCTTCGAGGCGCTCGGCAGTCCGGCGCCTCGCAAGCAACGGGAGAGCTTGGAGGGAGCTCTGCGAGGGGAAAGGCTCTACGACTCCAGCTTAACGCTCTCCCTGGCTGCGAACTGATGCAAAAGGAGCCTTCCCCTCAAAAAAGAGCATGGCATCTTTATGAGGCTCGGGTGGCACGGTCTTGGCAGGCCCTGGACGTGCAGCAGAGCAAGGATGGGACGAGCGTCTTCACATTTTGGCTTGCGAGCGGTCCAACACCTAATGCGAGATCTGGGCGGAAGCGCTCTAGCCTGCAGTCTTTTGTGCAGGGTTCCCAAGCCCGGAAGAGATCCAACTGCCACGAGCTCTTCTGCCGGCACTGCGGCCCCCCACTGAACATCGCTTGCTGCGGATACTCTGCGGATTATCGTCTCCGGGGCACACCCACCCCTCAGACCCTCAGCACCCACAACGCACCGGTACACCCTAGGTTTACATGGCTGAGGAGTTGGAGCATGTAAAGCAGGGGTCACGTGCGCTGCGCTCGAGCGTCGCCAGCGACAAGCCAAAGAGGATTAGGCACAGGCATGCGCCCAGGCAGCCGTGCGCTGACCTCCTCGACCCACACGCCGCCGGAGTCCGTGAATTCGCAAACATCCGCGAACATGGGATGGCCCACTCAACAAATCACGCACATGCGGGCCCGCCCATCTATACACATCTCAGAAGCCTAGTCCATGTAGTCACCCGCCGTGATCGGGACAGAAACGCCGCCGTCCATGCTGTCATCCGAGGGGCCCGGGCCTCCCTGGCTCCTTCCGCCACGACGAATGGGCGGCTTCTTCTTGTGGCCCAAGCTGAGGATGCAGGTCGGACGGGAGAAGACGGCCACGGGCAAGTAGGGCTCAAAGACGATCTTCAGCACCTGGCAAGCCATGCGCCGAATCACGACGCTGCTCAACGCCACCGGCTCGCCAGAGTCGAGCATCACCAGGTCGCCCGCCTTCAGCTTGCCTGCTGCAAGGTAGAGGCCCTCTTCGGCCTCCCCCTTTGCATCAGCGACCTGCACCAAGTGGTCCGGAGTCACCCGCAACGTTGCAGCACCTGCATGCAACTCCACAACCTCGCTGGCATCGCAGATTTCCGGCGTCTTCGCCACCTCCAGGATAGATGCGTCATCTCCGGCCACCACCTGTGAACCTTTCTTGAGGTCTCTCCCCATCAAGAAGAAGTCCGCCCCGAAGCTCCGCGTCTTGAAGATGGCATCGACCATGAAGCACTGGGGTGTCAGAGAGTCCGGCTTCACTGAGAACCACGAGGAGTTGCTCAAGACCGAAGACGCTGTCCCATCGTCATCCACGACGATGCTGTAACCCAGCTGCTCAGCAAGATCTGGCTCCTGGCTGTCGGAGGCTTCGTCGACAGGAGCTTCGCAATGCAGGGCGTGACCAGAGTTGAGATAATGCAATTTCTTCTGCGCCTGAAGCAGATGCCTCTCCAGCTCGCGAATGCGCTCCTTGTGCATGCCCCTCTCTTCCCGCAGATCCAAAAGCTGACCGAGCATTGCCGATCTCTCGGCCTCTGCTTTGGTAAGCTGGTTCCGAAGCTGCTCAGAGCGGTCTTGCAAAACTGCTTTCTCCTTCTCGAGCTGCAGCTCGGCGTTGCTACCCGGCACTTCTGTCAAAACCGAGCGGGCCACCTCTGCCTGCTGGCAGCGCTCCTGCAACCCGCGACTCTCCTCTTGCAGCCGCTGCACCTCCGCCCTCCTTTCGGCAGCATCGGATTCGGCCTGCAAGAGACGCTCCTTCGTCGCGGCATGCTCAGCTGCTTCTGCCTCCAAACGATTTACCAGCTCCTCGCAATGCTCCTGGCACTTGCCATGCTCCTGCAACTGCCGGAGCTCCTTCTGCATCCCTGCCGCCGCGGTCTGGGCAGCTGCAGCAGTTCGGAGCTCCGCATCCTTGCTGGACACCTCCGCCTCCGCCGCGGCCAGGCGATTGCGCAGCTCTCGGCCCTCCTCCTGCGATGTTTGGAGCTCTGCTTCGAGGCGGCGGCGCTCGGAGGTCTCCTCCTCGAGCTTCTGCCGCTTTCGCGCAGTCTCCAGGCTCATCTCAGCCGACACGAGCCGCTCCGCGAGCTCCCGGCAGCGATCCCGGGTGTGGGGCTTCTGCAGGTACCAAGCCGCCGCCGCCTCCCGCTCCGCTGCTGGGCGGAGCTTGCCTCGAAGGAGCCCCGCCTCGGAGAAGTACCAGGGGCCGCCCTTGTACTTCCCACACTCGGCCGCCCCGTGGCGGAGCAGCGCCTCGCAGAGCCGCTCCTGCCTCGTCGCCGTCTTCAGCTCTCCGAAGCGCTCAAGCCAGGCCTCGGCCTCCGCCGGCTGCGCGGCCCAGAGCTCCACCAGCCGCCCGCTCAGCGCCTCGCGAGCTCGCTCTGAAGGACCTACTACATCGCCGAGGGCGTCGATGACTGTCGCCAGGGGCCAGCCGGCAGGGACTTCGGTCAGCTCAACGAGATATTTGGCTTCGGACTGCTGGGGCATGGCGGCGCAACGTGGTGGCAGGGGCCTCGGATTCGAAGCTGTGTGCCTCGAATACACTCCTTTTATCCGAGACCAGCCAGCGCAAGCTCCGGGCTACCTCGACTTCAACATGCGACGCTGCCCAAACCACGGGCCCCGGACCTGGAGCCGCACCGGGAAGCGCCGCCGGCTATGGCGCAAAGCGCAGCTAGACCTTGGATCCGGCGTAAGCTCGCGACCGTGCATAAGTCTCGAGTTAAGTTGTTGTTGCGACGCGCGTATGTCATGTGGACAGATGCCAATCGTTTCAGTGGATGTTCAAACTGCGTAAACTGTGGAGTCTTGGGTTTTCCGATATGGTGGAGGCTGCCGATCCATGGCGGGAGAAGGGATCCCGCGACACAGAGGTCTCGAGAAGGCTGACGCAGTACCACGAGCCCGAAGCCGAAACCCTGAACCGCAAAAACGACAAGACCCTTCCCATGGAGTTCGAAGCACACGTGAGTCGAAGCACTCAAGCCTAACAAAAAAAAACGGGCCCGGAACCCTCAAGCCGCAAAAAAAAATGTTAACAAAACTCTCGAACCTCTCAACTTTCAGCAGGCCGCGGAACTTAGCAACTCAGCTCCGCTTGCGGGTCGTCGGTGTCAGGCAGTGCCACCTCGCTGAGGCTCAGGGCCCTTTTGGCCTTTCGGGGCCTCCAGGGCCTACCAGGGCCTGTAAGGCTGTTAGGGCCTTGAGGTCTTTCGGGCTGGAGGCTTCAGGCTTGGGGTTCAAGGTCTTGGGCCTTTCGGGCTTAGGCCGGCTTCAGGCTTGTGGTTCAGGTGTTTTATAGCCGAGGGTTGCCCTGGAGTTTCCGGGTTTTAAAGGGCTACCTAGTAAACCTCCAGATGGCGCCTGCACCTCCTGCAAGACGCAGTGGGGGCCAGTGAGCTCCGTCTCCGTCTCCTGGGCAAGCGCTCTTTTCCAGACCCTACTCTGAAGATTGCCTCCCCCACCCCAAAGCAAGAAGGTCCAAACCCCAAACCTGCATGACCTAGACCTCCTGAGTCCCTGAAGCACGCACTGTGGAAAAACACAGACCACCACAGCGACCGCAGCAACGGCAGGCAACAGCGACAGCGACGCCGACAACAGAAGCAACCGTCGATGAAGACACGACACGCCTTGTGGCAAGAAGATCCCCTTAACGTCGTACCGTGTGCTATTCAGGGATATGTACTATATAGAATACCATTGCAGGGGTCTACTTTAAAGATCCCAGTGGCATGCAGGGCCCGGATCTGATCGATCTCGAAGACGGTTCCGTCGTGTGTCTGCAGGCGACGTTTGGGGCTGCGGGTGTGTGGGGCTCTATGGGGCGAAAGTGAGGTTGTAGGGGTGTAGTCTGCTGTAGCTGTATAGGGAGTAAAAGTGGGTACTACTATGGCTTGTTATTCCTAGTCATTCCTACTCCTAGTTGCGCGTGGTGAGCGGGCGTTTATTGGCCTTACAGGTGGGTGTTTGCAAGAGCTTTTACAACTGCACCGGCGTTACAACTGATACTGAAAATACTCATAACCTCATCAATATTAACTGCGATGGACACTAATACACAGTAATGACCACCACTGATGGCTAGACGAGCTGAGCTCGCCAGAGTTCCTGTGGCACATAACCGCGGCAAGTCTTTTCGAGACTGCCCCTGCTTAAACCCCCTATCCCCCGAGCTCGGAAAGCTAGCAGTAACTCCTCCACCATCGGAAATCTCGCGAGTCGAATGTTGAATCTTGACATCCTTGCAGAATTTCATGGCTGAAAAGTTCCGGATGTCCCAGGACGACATATTGGGTAGTACTCTCGAATAGGATCCCTTTTAGGGTCCATTTTACTTAGGGGACCTAAAACGGGGGACCCATAGGCTGCCAAGGAGCACTTCGAGACTCGAAGCTCTCCTCCTGTGAGCTGCCGGTAGAGTTTCGGGAAGTTTCGGGCTTTGTGTGTGTTCGTACAGGGGCCTGTGAACAATCAGAAATAAGGGGCTTCCGGGGCTTGGAATTATGGCAGGGTATCAGACGATACTACTAGAAATCATTACCATCTCAATATATGGGGTTGGCGTAAATATGTAGGGTTAGGGGAAGCCAGCTTTGGACAGCCAGCTGTTAGTTTCGATACCAGCACCACTCGAGCTGCCCAGAACTCACCCTTCACATCAACTTTAGAGATCAAGCACTTCACATCAACTTTTCTGGTCGGGCTTTTTCGGATCTACTTGACAGCCTCCAGAACATCAACTTTAGAGTCAAGAGTTCGAGCTTAGCCTGGGTTGCAGCCAACCCAAATTCCGAAACCTCTCTCAAACTCCCTGAACCCCGACCCCCAACACTGCCCCGCCCGCAAACATCAAAAACTGGGCTGAGCCCCGAAGACTACCCAAAGACACACCCTGAAACTTAGCTCTTCTGCTTTTGCTGGCCTCTACGCAGTGGATCCCATGCAGCTGCCTCAAAGCATCCGGGTCCATCCCCCCCTCCGTGTAGAGGCCTGGGCCAACAAGTTAAATGGAGAACCGAGGGTCGAGCTCTCGAGCTCCATGATGGGGCCTAAAGATGCCTTCTGCTAGGGCGAGGGCGAGGGGTGTTTCGAAATGACGCTCAGCAGCACGCAAACCTCGTCGGGGGTTCTGAGTCTGCGGCCTTGAACTTAGGCTAAAGGTGGAAGTAGACGGCATTGTCGGATTTAGAGTTCAGCGTTCGCACCTTCGAATGCGGCGAGCTTCGCCGTCTTTCTAGGTTTACAACGTTGAAGCTTTATGGTATGACGCAAAGCTCTGCTACCAGTCCCCATGCGCCCCGATCTTCATGCTTTTCGACGAACCGGGAGCCAGGCCGTGGCGCATCGGGAAGAAGGGGATGTAGAAGAGGAGGCATCTCCAGTGCCCGTAGAGCGTGCAGATCTGCAGGAACGTGGAGTAGAGCGGCCAAAGCAGCCTCCGATAAAAATTACCCCAGAAGCTCCCTTGGTGCTGGGGCCTTGAGGCTTGCGATTTCGGAGCACGGGGCATTGGGGTCGGAACACACAAAGTGTCGAAACTGTGGCGCTCAAAATTTCGTAGTTATAGTTGCTGAACCCCGCATCTCACTGCACAGATGCCTTAGAAGAACATGTAGCAATTTGCACGTTGTGCTACGGAGAACCGCTTTTGGCTATGCGCAACCAGTACGCAGGCTCATTTTCCTGTTGCGGTCTTGTCTACCACAACCACCGCCAGGACGACGACGACTGCATCATAAAACCGCTACCGTATCCGCATGAAGCCACAACGCATGCACGAAAGCCGTTCCAACACCAGGGCGTTGAAACCTTGCTGCATCCCCTTGTAGTCATGAAGCCTTTGGATACCCCAAGACCCCATTGGAGCCAATAATGCCCCTATGTTACGACTGCTTCTGGGGACGAGCAGCAACGTCACGGCATCTGCTTGTAATCCCGGCTGATCTCTCAGAAGGAAGGCACTAAGAAACAGCCCGTTGGCCCATTGACCTCGGATTGAAACTCCCAGGGCTTGCGATTCGTCACAGGGTGTTGGACAATAGTGCTTAGGGTTTAGATATTTCAGAACTTGCCTGCATTCAGGATTCATAGGGTTTAGGGCTTAGGGAATGCAAAGCTTTTCGGTGATGGGGTCCATGGCATCACGATTGTTCAAAAGTGTTGAACCTAGATGGTTCGAAGGAATCATCCCTGAAAATGCTCCTCCACCCGATACCATACCCTGAGCTCCAAGCTATGCCATAATCTCCGCCATACTCTCCCTCCTTCTCTCCGACACTGCTGCCCTCTGTTTCGAAATCAAACCATTGCATTTTTTACAAGACCCACACCCACGAAGACCTGTGAGAGCCCTTTGGATTCTCAAAAAAGACATGCATCATCTGCAAAACTTGCTGGAGCTGAAACCTCACAAACCGATCCTGCAGCTTCTTCAAGCACCCTTGCTCTTGCTCATGGAGCTCATCTTGACCACACGTGAACCCTGAGACCTGGATCCCTGAACCCCAAGCTCCAAACTTGAACCCTCGACCCAACAGCCAGCTGAACCCGAGATCACAAAACCCAACTCCGTCCAGCCGCAGACAGCGAAGGAGGCAAGTGCCCCGAGCATGTGCCGCGACACCTCCAAAGAGCTCACTCAGGATTCAGCGCTCTGGGGTTCAAGGGGTTGAAGGATTGGGGGTGGGGTCTCAAGGCCTTTGGGGCTCAGGGCCGAGATGGGGCCCTTGATGTTCCCCGAAAAAACCGCAATGCAAGCTCCAGTTGCATCCAAGCACCGTCGGGGCGAGGACTCAGTCATGTGTAAGTAGGGGGTTTAGAGAGGTTAGGTAGAAAGACGTCTGGGCACTACAGGTGAGTTTGGGTTGAGGAGCTTCGGAAGGTTCCACGTCATGCAAAAAAGGTAAGGACGACCATAAACGACAACACAAACGCAAAGCAACCCCGAATAGGAGGAGGCTTGGGGTCTTCGAGGATTATTCTGAGCCTTACCCTTAAACCATCACTTGTTTGCAGATTGGGGTAGACCCTGGCCTCTCCACTCTGGGCCCCAGACTCCCTGGCCCTGCCTCGCTCCAGTCGTCCAGGGCCAAGAAAACCACCAGAGCTTGCAGCAGTATGAAAGGTGCGAGGAGGTGACCTCAGGGCTTGGCTGGGCCTGGGAAACGTCATCCAGAGATCAAATTCGGAATTTAGGGTTTCGCGTCTTCCGTGGGCACCCCTAAGCCCTTGACTATAAACCCTCAGCCCTTACAGTACTCTTCTTCGACCCCTTATTAGAACCCTGAACAGAACCCTTGCTAGAACCCGTATAAGGACCCCGGAACCGGAAGCTCGTGCGTGCAGTGCCGACCGAGTGGCCTACGACGCTCATCAGGTGCAGGGCCTCAGCGCCACGGGGTTTCTTGTTAAGGAACTTAGTTCAAGTCGTCAAAAGAGAGAGCTGTAGCAACTCATAGGAATCCTAATCATGGGCACTTAAACTAAAGTCCTGAAAACACCGCTGAAACCTGAAGCCGCATAGGGTTCCTTCCTGTGATTCACGGCGTGAAACCCTTCCGCAGCCCCAAACTCTAAACCCAAGGCCGGACTCGGTTGAGGCCTATTCTCGGGCTTAGGGTTTAGAGTTTCAGGATTGTAGGTGTAGGCTACTATGGGGCTTTAGGGTTTCGAGCTTTAGGAGTCTTTTAATAGGGTTTGGGATTTTCCGGAAGCCCTAGAAATCAATATGTCCGGGCGGCAGAGGTGACCTGAAAGATGAGCGTCCTGTCGGCAGGTGCGGTCGCGACAGCGCTTCGGGCCGAGGGTAGGTCGGGCTCGGGGTTCAGGCCCTAAGTTTCCTTGTGAGAGCTTAGGGTGCAGACTGTGGGAGTTTAGGAGTTTAGGATTATGGGATCGACACTTTGGTGCCTAGGAGTTTTGGAGTTTAGGATTCTCGGATTTTCGCTTGGTGCTGCCGGAATTTCGGATTCGGGTTGCAAGTGCAGGTGCTCGGGGATTTAGACAGACCGGTCTTCGAATCGAGGGATCAAGGGATTCTCGTTCTTCAGGTTGAGGCTTCACGGCTTTTGGCTTGAGGTTTGTAGGTGCAAGAGCTACCCGCCCTACCCACCAAATACACAAAAACAGCAATCTGAAATTCAGAACTTGCACAAAAATTGGCCAACGGACACTCTGCGTCTGCACCCCTCAGCCACCAAAAACTCTACAACTCAGCAGCGCATGCAGAATTGTCGGAACGCCTGGACAATGAGCCGGTGCGGTAGAAGAGCATCAGATACAGCCGCAGCCAGAGTCTTCGCGGCGCGTTCACACACCACCTCTCCGCGCCTGAGGGCTACGGACTGAGGAGGAAATTAGGATTGCATGGACATATATACGCACAGTGGGCATCAAGGTGCAATGCCGGGAAGTCAACTCGATCCGTAGCCTTGCTTAGAGTGGAGCCAAAGTGGACCTCACAGAAGTCCGGCGTCCTTGAACCCGAAACACCCTGAAGTGAAGAAATAGCGAAGTCCGAAGGGCGCTGCTTCCAGAGGCATGTGGCGCCGTATCCTGGCATGTAATGGAACACCGCAGGAAGGAAACATCGAGGCTGTTGGGTGCAGGGCTTGGAAGCAGAAAGCATAAAGGCCTTACTCTAGCTTCATCCCCTGTATGGTTGAGGGTGCAAGGATTGTAGCTTTCAGGTTGGGTGCTCAGGGCAACTGAGCTCATAGGTTTGCTTGGCTCACGTGGAGCCAAGCAGAACCATCTTCGGACTTGAGACGTGGGATTGTTCTCTAAATTTCTGAAGAGAGGGTTTGCGGGCGGCGGCCCAGTCCTTGATCGCGCGAGCTGCTCCCAGGGAAGAGAGCACCGGGGGCGTAGGTCGTCACCTCGAAATGTTGGGCTCAAAGACTTCGAGCCCCAGGCCCTGAATAAAAAAAAAGCACTGGGACCTTGTAGGGCTCACGGTGTTCTTATGGCGGAGAACGGGTCGATACTTCGTGCTTAGGGTCTAGGAACCCTAAACCAACAATCCGAAGCCCATACATTCCGTGAATTATTCTGGTCTCGGCCTACGCACTCATCGCAACACCCTCCAAATCCGTCATAAAACCCTCCACAGAAACGTTAAAAGACAAAACAGAACCCTCAAAAAACCTCAAAGAGCAGAAAGGAATTCAGAAAGGTGCCGCCGGGGCGCCGAGCTTCGGAGTTCCTGCGCCATCGCCCGCTGCTTCAGGAGGTTAATCGTGCCGTTCCTTTCTTGGGGGGGATTTAAGGGGCTTTTGAAAACACGGTTGAGGGTTTCTGGGGGGGTTTAAGGGCTTTTGAAACACGGTTGAGGGTTTCTTGAGGGGATGTAAGGATTTTTGAAACAGTGCTTAGGGTTTAGGCGTTTAAGGGGTTGAAACTTTTGGGAGGGGGAAGGGGGTTCAGGCTCTCGGCGAGGCAGACTGCTTAGGGAAAAAGCTCGGCTGAAGCTTCGGAATTGGTTTCAAGGTGGGTTGTAAAGTTGAGAACAGTGCGGGATTGCAATCTTTGAGGTCGTGAGCGTTTGTTTGTAAAGTTTGGTGACTTGGCTTGGTGGCTGCACGTTTGGAGTTTTCTGTACGCTTAGGGGCTTTAAAGCCTATTCGGTTCCAAAGCTGATCGCTCATCGCTTACAAGTTTCTGGCAACCTACTTCTTCAATTAAACCCCGAGGCTGCCGGTCCCGAACTCTTCGAGGCTTTGGGGCGTTGGGGAGTTGACCTGAAACCTCTGCGTTCTGAAGTGCCCAGCGGCCAGTTGTCTTCTCCGAACGGCAGGAAAGGATGCTCCTGGCACGGCATGCTGCAAGGGATGCCTAGACTCCCAAGTGCAGATACCGAAAAGCCGACCCCGTTAATTTCTTGGATATATACAGATAGATAGGTAGTTACACCATACATAGATTCGATAGATAGATAGATAGATAGATATAGATTCATGTAGAGTGAGAGGGTTCACGGACAAAGGCCATGAAGCTTGATCATATGATCGGGAGGGACATGGAGAAACGTCTGTGCCCCAAGGCGCCTGCATCGTCTCCATGAACGCCTGTCTCCGCCAGATCCCGATGATGCCATGCTGGAACCAAACGGTCGAGTACATTGACTCAAAGAGACCTGTTCAGGCAAACACTCGCCCTTCTCTAGATCTGAGCACTCTTTGGCTCCTCAGAAAAGAACGTCACTCTTATCACGTCATCGGGATCATAAGACAGACTCTTTCTTGCTAAACCATCCATGTTAGCAGCCGTGGAAGAGCTTACATTATAAGTAGGGTAACTGTACTTATAACCCATATTAAGGGACTTATAACCCTAATTATATCTACCCAACCGCGCTTGGAAGCCATGGGGCGACATTGGGAGATGCCCCGGAATTCCCAGTCCACCAGGCGCTGAACCACCCCTGCGAGGTCAATCTGAATTAGGGCATTAGGGGTACTTGGGGTCCTTATAGTAAGGATCCTACTATTTTGGGTACTATATTAGGGTCTTAGCTTCAGAGTTAAGGATTAGGGAAGTGGGATTCGGAGTTCATAGCTTCAGAGTTAACGATGAGGGACTGGGAGTTCATAGAGTGCCAGGGGTTACGTTTGGGCATGCTGCAGCGATGCTCATGGGGGTAGATCGGATAGAACATCCAGCTTCGCCACCCCCAACACCCGAAAGGATCCTTCGAGACACAGCATGCCTTGAAACAGCAACATCCCCCACATCGCAGATCCGTCAAGACGTCGAAACCTAACGTCAAGACGCCGAAACCTAAGTCCAAAAACCAACTCCTCTGTCATAACATTGCTTGAGATGTACGGCAGGCCAGGACCAGCCTCTATCGCATGATACACGAGCAAGAAAATCAAATCTCAGAAACACCTGTGGGACCCTGCAACGCCTCATAAAAACCCTGTGGCGTGTCATTCTCCGTAAAGCTCTGCAAAACTCGGTAGATGAAGCCCCACCCAGGAAGGCCCAAGCCCAAGACGAGGCAGGGGTACCGGTGGGTCGCATTCGGATGCCGTACGATACCCCGTGGACTCCTCAAAAGTTGATTAGGCGGACAGGGACCAAGCTTTGGAATCAAGGGTTCTGTGGGAGGGCCTTAGGGTTTGAGCTTTAGGTTTAGGGTGTGGAGCTGGAGGATGTTGGGGAAGTTCGTGATTTCTCTTAACGTGGTGCTTGTTGCTTATGGCCTTCATTATGCATTGTGTCACTCTCTGTCTCTTGCAGTTCGGCCCATGCTTACTTCGCAACAGGGCAGGGGTTAGAAGGCGAGCGTCCCTGGTTCAAAGTTTGGGAACGGGCTTTCGAGGCGAGCTTCAGCTGAGCTACGCTTGGAGTCCTGGGTTGACGAGTCGGGGGTCCCTGAAGCCTGACACCAGAGAGCCCGATGGAACTCTTCAGGAACTTTCAAACTCTCCCAGCCAAAATTCCCCAGCCCTGGCTGTAGCAAGGCTTCGTGGATCTTCCCACACACTCTCATCCAGCACGAAATCGTCGGGCAGCTCGGTGTCGTCATCGATGTGCATGATGTACCTTTGCTGCTCTAATAAGCCTATATCTATATGGGTACATGGAGCCTTAGGGAGTTTGGGGCACTTCCTTCATCCATTTTGAGCTCCCTTGGGGGTTTTGTGGCTATGGGGCCGGAGGCTGAACGTCTGGGCTTAACCCACGCAACCAAGAAAGCAGGATGCTCCTTGGACCCTAAGCACAGACCCTAATTCACTGAAACCGAAATCCGAAACCTTGAGCCTTAAACCCCGAGCCCTAAGTCCTGAACCGTGAACCGCAAAGACTACACATCTGGGTGGTTGTCAATATTAGGGTCCCTTTTTGATTCACTATTATAATAAAGGCCTATAATATTTTGGGTACTCAAAAGGGGACCATAATTTTCACAACTACTCAGCTGCAGGCCCGGTTGCTTGACTTGTTCCGGCAACAGCGACAAGCCCTTCCACAAGGCGTTGGCTTTGTGGCCGATCCTTTGCCCGCGGCGTGGGGTTTAGGGTTTAGGCGTCTACTGACATGTGTCCCGTTCCGGTGCTTCGACGACTACTACTGCTACTACTGCTACTACTACTACTACTACTACTACTACTGCTACTACTACTGCTACTACTACTACTACTACTACTACTACTACTACTACTACCACTGCTACTATCACTACTACTACCACGACTACCACCACTATCACCACCACACCACGATCATCTACTACTACTCTATCACAACCACAACTACTCCAGTTGCTAGCAAACACCTGTTGCATCTTGGTGGAACCATTCCCTGAGTCATGCAAGGTGCGAGGATTCGGGTCGGCTTCAACAGAAGCCCTTCATTCCGGTTCAGGGCCAGGGTTTAGAATTTCGGGTTTTGGGCTGTAGGATTTGGGATGTATAGGGTTTAGGGCTCACGTTTTAGGGTTTGGGATTCAGGGCTAAGGCTTTTCGGCGCCATGCAGCGGAAGCCAGACGTACTGCACACTTGGATTCAGAGCTCTCAGTACTTCCCGGGTGTCGTCCAACGGTTCCACGCTGTTACCGTTGTCGACCACCTTGGCCAAACTTTAGGGGTTTAGGAGTGTAGGGGTTTACGGGTTTAGGGCCCAGGGTTTAGGGGTTTGGGAGTTTAGGAGTTTAGGGGTTTAGGGGTTTAGGGTTTAGGGGTTTAGGGGTTTAGGGTTTAGGGTTTAGGGTTTAGGAGAGCTTCGGGCTTAGAGTTTGGAGCTACTAAAGGATCCTGGGACTTCGTCGGTCGGTCATAGTTGGGGGCCCATAAGTCGAATGTACCCTAATAGGGATTGCTCGCGTCCGGGTTTAGGGTATGTAGGGGAGTTAGTACAAAGGAGCTCTATACACAGCTTTTTTTCTACCAGCGTTGCCACCACTCAGAGAACGGAACATTCTGGGGCAGGATACTGAGCGTCGGAACCCAACCTCCCAATGCTTTCCCTCCTGCAAATGCCGCATGTTTAGGAAGCTGCACACCCAAAGCCCGGAACCCTCAACCCTTGACCTGGCCCCCAAAGCACCGAAACCTCGTGCCAGCTGAGAAGCGACGATATGCTCCGGCTCGAGGTACAAGAGCAAGGAGGCCACCGTGTCAGCGATCTCACCCGCCTAGAAACCCGTAGGCAGTTGAGATCTCGGGGTTTGCAGGATCTGTGCCGGCGTTCAGGTTTTACGGCTTTTGGGGGTTGCAGTCCGCGCTCGACTCAAACCCAAGGTACCAAGCTACACCAAGGTTAGAAGGTAGGGCTTACAGTTTACGGGATTAGCATTGGTTTCGGTTCAGGGTTTGTGGTTGATGGCTTCCGTGTCGGAAGGATCTTTCGTAAGGGCAAAGGCTTCTAGGGTTCGGCTTGTGGGTTTGGGGCTTGATGGCCGCCGGTTGCGAGTACTACTGATCCTGCTATCCTTTTGCCCTTCCGCAAATTTTAAGAAGCCTGCACTAAGCAATGACCACTTGTTGGTTCGATTAGTCCGTTGTGCCTACTGCCTCATATCTGGTCTTACGATTCTTACTATTACTCGTTCAATTCCTAGAAGCTTGGCGACTACAATTGTCCCAGTTGCTACATACCATTTTTGTTGCAGACCCCCACAAGGAACCACTACGCTACCGGCTAGGGTTGTAGGGTTTCTCCAGGATCAAAGCCGAGGATCACTCCGGTGACATGGCACGATGCAGCCGATCTCCCGCAGGTAACCCGGATCGTTTCGATGCAGGATATGAACGTCGCGCGGGGGCCAGGGTGCCAAGATGTACATCATCACATCCTGCGGGAAAACGTTGGATGCTTCTGGAAAGTCGGAGCAGCTTATCTAGGATGTAAGGTTCTAGATACAGCATGTTCTGCTCCTTGCCAAGAAGTTCGAAGAGGCCTACATAAAACTTCATCCCCAAACTCTTAAATCCTCCACCCCAATTCTTCGAAATCCCTGGAAGTCTCTTTCGAAGTTCCCCGGTCCGTGGCCAAATGCAGGAGCGGCAGCTTGTGCAGTCGAGGGTACAGAGGCCGCAGGAGAGCGACGATGGAGGCCCAGGAGGTTGCCAGGAGCCTTTGGAGGGAGTTGGGGGGGGGAGGAGGTTCCTGCAAGGGGTCCTAAAAGGTACGGTTTCAATAGCAAGGTTTCTAGAAAAAGTTCTTAGAACAAGGCAAAATTATGATAATAAGGTTTCTGTTGGGACTTCTAAGGAGGCTTTTGAAGGTGTTGGAGAGGCTCCTGCAGAGGAAACGAATAGGGTTCCCTGACGAGGTCCTGTAATGTAAGGTTTTACAGGAATGTGTCTGTGACAAGGTCTCCATGACAAGGTTTCCATGATAAGGTTTCCGTAAGGAAATCGAAGAAACTTCCGGATTCGCAGCGCACTCGATTTAAAAGCCCTTGTTTCCACCATGACAATGCGTGACGGATCATCGGTCATGGTCACATTTGGTGGTTGCAATAACAAATTCCTGAAGTGAGGGTGATCTTCTCTTGATGATAAGGGGTTAGGGGCCACGTCGGATGTCGGTTTGTTTTGGAGCTATGGGATTCATATCTAGTTTTGAGAGCTGCTGGGTTTTGTGGCCGAGGTTCAAGGCAACGGACGCCAGCATGAAGTACCAGACCGTCGCGCGAGCCCTGCTCATGAGCAAGGTGACGTAAAATCTGACCCAACCCAAACAACCCACTGTTAAATCAGCTCTTCTGAACTAAAAGACACGCTCTAGGTCAAACCTACCCTTTTAGTGTACTGTAGTATGAATAGACAGAAACTTCTTTCAAGGCTAGAGCTTTTGGGGGGCTAAGGTAGACCCCAAATCCTAAACCCTACCACCTTAACTCTAAACCCGAATCCTCCAGGCAGGCCTGGTGTCCAGGTCCTGGCCCTTGCAGAAGCGATAAAGCAGCGAAGGTTCAGACGGCGGCTTCGCCGTGTAAAGGGCTGATGATGCATAGTGGCTGTACCTCAAGGGATGCGTGAGGCTTGAGGGCTTGAAGTTGGAGTTCTGCGTTTTTCGGGGTTTGGGATAGGTGTGTCGGGGGTTTGGGGCTTCACTTGCCCATTGCTCAGGCTTTGGAGCAGCATCCAAGTCTGCACCCCGAGCGGTCGCAACTGTCAGATCATTCCATTGCTATAACCCGATGCTCTTTGCAAAAGAGTGTCGGTTTGACATCCTCCCCGCCGTCCTGCGAGCGGTTTAGGATGCTTGGGGGTTTGGCCTCAGGGTCTACTTGTTGCAGGTCTCGGCGTTTGGGCTTTTGCATGGGTGGCTTGAGAGCCATGTATAGGCTTTGAGTTGGCATCGGGGAGCAATTGAACATTGTTATAAATATAGGATCTGTGTAGCACAATATGTTTCAATTTCTGTTTGCATTTGGGTTAGGGTGCTTCGGAGTTGTGGGTGTCAGGCTTTGATGAAGGCTTAAGGGACAGGGCCTTGATCTACTAGCTATCAACAACCAACCGTACCTCTCGAGGGCCGATCTAAGATTCAGGAATGCTACACCTCATCCACAAAGTTGGAACATCGTTTTCCTTATGCCCTTAAAGTCACTGAAGACTAAACCCCAACGCTAGCTGTCCGAAACCCTCCCGCAGTTCAGGGCCTTCAGCGGCCCATCACAGAACTTCTTTGGTCCCGTGCGCGGGGGCTGCACCTGCACTGACAATGAAGCGAGGAAGCTTAGCTCGGCTTTGGTCTCGGTTTAGGGGTTTAGGGGTTTAGGGGTTTAGGGGTTTAGGGGTTTAGGGGTTTAGGGTTTAGGGTTTAGGGTTTAGGGTTTAGGGTTTAGGGGTTTAGGGTTTAGGGTTTAGGGTTTAGGATAGTTTGAGAGTTGGGGTTGGAGTTTATGGCTGTGTCTACATCACGAACACTAAACCCGAAGAGTCTACTTGCGCAACCCTAAACTCCATACCCGTGGATTGATATTATCTTAAACTCCAGGCCCATAAGATTCAGAAATTCAGCTTTTGATGTTTCGTGCTTCTATGTGACTCACGAAGTTAGGGGTAGACCCCTTGAGACTATGGTCAATGGCTTGGGGCTACTTTGGGAGATCTGCTTAATTTGAAAGGCAGTGGCCTTCTTCAGGCTGATTCGCATCAGGGTTTAGCATGTCGGACAGAGAGCGTCCCTTAACAGCTGTGACAATAGTTAGAGTAAGGCAAAGGCATACATTAGGGAATCTTAAGGAGGGCTTCATCGCGGACAGAGAGCGTCTCTTAACAGATGTGACAATAGTTAGAGTAATGCAAAGGCATACATTAGGGAATCTTAAGGAGGGCTTCATCGCGCTGTAAGTGTCACGAAAAGACCATCAGCAACTTCGGGTGTGTACCGAAAGAGTTACCGAAAGCTACTCCACTCAAGCTGCAGTCAGCGCGAACCCCGACAGAAGATACGACCTGAGAAACAAGACATTGGCCGAACTTCGCTCCACCCCCTACTTGCGCATGTAAAGGCTTCAAGGATTTCGGGTCTCGGGCATAGGGCTCAGAGTTTAGGGGTCGACTCCAAACAACTGCTCTGTGCCTTGGCGCACCCCGCTGAGAAGCAAAGGGGAACTTCGCGCATCGGCTGAAGGGAGGATGTGTTCAAGTCAAACCGCAAACCCGATTTGCCCTAAAACTCAATAGCCTGCAACTCAAACGCTACACCTTAGGGTTTTCGGTTTTAGTAGGCTTTCGGCTCTAGGGTTAGGCGCCGCAACACTCTGTCATGACTACGAGCGCGCTCTGTGGAACTACGGGAATCTGCCGCCGCTTGAGCCTGCCAAGTCATGTGCCGCGCCAAGTACTTACCTTTGGTTAGTAGGGAATGGTGGGGTTCCGTTTAAGGGGGTCTATAAGGGTCACTATAAGGGCTCTATGTGGTAGGGTTCCCTTTAAGGGGGTCTATAAGGGTTACCATAAGGGATCTATACTTACCTTTGGTTAGTAGGGAATGGAGGAATGGGGTACAAATGAAAACTACTATTACTACCTTTCTTTCATTTCCCCCTCCTAACCAAAGGTAAGAGTAAGGGGCTTTTATATGCGCTGTTTCCTCATCTTTTCTTTAGGGTTTACGGCCAGGGTTTAGGGTTTAGGTGCAAGATAGAGCCAGCCAGTACAGCACCACATCTTTCCACGACGTGCCTTGCTGTGAATGTTGGTTCTGATGTATGGTGCAGCTTCTCATATGCTTTACAAAGATGTGTGCCACAAGGGCTAATTCTCGATCTGCACGCGCCAGTAACATGCCTCCAAATGGTACTTGAATCCATGAAGATAAGAACTTCACATGTATGCACCCTGAACAAGCGTACACACGGAAGGTATGCGTAGAAGAAGCTTCTAAAACAACCCATGGCCTTCTGTAAGACCTCTTTACAAGGGCCAACGTACAAAGGGGCTTTACCCAGCGACATCGACGAGAAAGCCTGGCACAGACACGAAAACACCAAGACAACTTGCCACTAGCTTTGTCATTGTTATTGTTATTGCCATTGCTGTCATGATTTTTAGTCTTGTTTCTATTGCTATTGTCACTATTTGTTGTTCTGATGATCATCCCCTTAAACCCTCTGGCAGATGCTTGTCCATCGACGCGGCGGAGGGCTCCTCAGGAAAGAGACCTAAGGCCTAAACTCTCAGCATCCTGCTTGGAAGGAGGGAGAGGCACCAGCGAGCTCAGGGATGCGCCGAGGGGTGCTCCCGGGCTCAAGGCGTTGAGTTGAGTTTAGGGCCGGGCTGATTAGACTTTAGGCACGGGGTGCAGCTTGCTGCCGACCGCAGCCTACGACACATCGGTGACACTAAGGATCGCTCATAGAGCAATCGATGGTCAACTCCCCGTGGCTGCTTCAGGAATGCCTTAGCGCCACAACCACGGACGAGTTGAGGGCCTAAGCCGCGGGCATACACCGGCGTGCTCCAGGCGAGACGGGCTGCAGAGGAGCTTACGCGACCGTGGCGCAGGCTGCATCAGATACCATGCTTCGGGCAGGTGCTCTGCTGCCCAAAACTTAACTTCTGTGGCCGGATTGGCGATGTCCCCAAAGCACAGAGTCGAGGCCTCGGCTCCTTCGGCCGCATATCCAGGTAGTGAGGAAGCACCTACCAGTACCGCTTCGGCTCATGCTGGCAGGGAGTGAATGCTAGCTTTGGTTCTCGGCTGGCATTGTCGGGAGTGTACCAAGCAAGGCCCTTAATGTCACTTGTGACAAGGCAAGATGTGGAACCTGCCTACTACACTTCCGAAGCGCAGACCTCAAAGCTGCTCTCAGAGGTGCTTTCCTTGCACAGCTGCTCCTTACAAGGACCCAGTGGCGAAAACGCGCACGCTTGCGCACGATGATGTAAGGATTAAGGTTTGGACCTAAGATGTTGTGAGTTGTCTTGCAAAGAGGTGTACAGATGCCGTTGAAGCAGGTCATGCACAAGCCACATGGATCGAAGGGCGGGATCTCACTTCACTCCCCTGCTGGAGGTAGACGCGGAGCTGGCACCTAGAAGCGCGGCATCATGATCCCCGCGGACTCCAACCGACGTCTGTTGCGAACATTGCTCACGCTGGCTTTCCCCGTAAGTCTTCAAGTTACTATTACGACCTTGCATGCATGCAGTTACTGTCGTAGCCTGTGGAAGCAGCATGCGCCTGCCGGCGTGCAGGACTTGCACAGGCTGGGAGATCTCCGGACGGCCGTCGCCCTCACCATGTGTACTCTCTACAGGGTCAGCACAAAATGAGACGAAGACCTCGGCCGAAAAACGACATCTGTTGAAAGGCGAACCAACAAGAAACGTCATGATCCGTTTCTGACGCGAACTGTCGTCAACAGATGCCCATGTCGCCCCTCCACGTCCGGAAGTGGCACGCACATGCTGTTACCAAACTGCATACACTCCTTCTTCTGCGGCGCTTGCTGGTAGACACATCCTGGAACCGAAAGGACAGGCACAGCGGAGTCCTCGCACCTCGCTGCAGGCTTGCGTTTAGGGAGCTTTGGTTTTGGCGCGTGACAAAGGAAGGCTCCGGCCTGCAGCCGTAGTCAGCAACGTCTCTTCTGCAGGCTCAACCTGCGCTTCGTGTGGCTTCCCTTGTGGTAGGCTTGTGAGCGGGGGTCAGCATCTGTGTCTACGGCTCCTTCCAAGCAATGCCACACAAGCTCCGTCCATGAGGACGACTGCTGCGATCACATCTTGCCGGAACGGTTAGAACAGGAGTGACACCTGGGCCAAATTGAATGTGAAGCCAACTTGCTTCACATGCTGGCCTCGACCGGGAGTGAGTAGACTGTCGCCGTAGCAGGTCATGCATAGGCAAATATTCATCCGAGTGCCAATACATCGCTTCTTCTTCCAGAAGCGGACAGCATGCTGGCTCGCATAAGCAAGCCGACGTGAACCGATGTCACCAGAGATCCATGTCGCAGCTTCACTGGCAGAATACAAAGAACAGTCGGAGCTGCAGCCATTCCTGGAAGTGGCAAGCGCGTACCACTAGCAATGCTGGAGACAGCCTTCAGCTGACAGTGCATCCACAGCTGCAAGCTGCACTAAGCTTGGCTGTTGAGTAGCGGCTTTTGACTAGCGCAAGCCGTTGCATCCACGTGACGAACGAAAGCTAAATCGACGGGAGCGTGCAGGATGGCCCTGAAGCACCCCTTTCGAAACCGACAACGGATACGAGTGCCAGAACCGCTGCTTCAAGCGCAACCACAGCCGAGATGAGAGCTTGCGAATGCTTTTTCCAAGGTGAAGTGTTGGCAACGACCTTTGATTATGGCGAGCGCTTAAGCCGACCTGAAGAACGCCACCCTGCACTTGTTTTCAGCACAGTCTCCCTTGTAGACTCCGTGCAGGAGCACTACTGCGGCTGCCACATGTTGCCGGAAATATCAGGACAGGGCCGACGACCGTGGCAGATTGAACCCTTTCAAGTCTCGACACAGACTGGGCAGAAGGGAAGGGCAGCAGGTCCACCGAAGCACGCCATGCACAGGCAACAAGCCGAATAAGGCCGATGCTCCGAGACGTTGGGACCTGACGAACTAGGGTTCCCTGCAAAGTCCTACTTTGACATGGCTTCGTGCCCCGCTGACACAAGGCCCAGCACACCACTCAAACGAAATTAGCATAGACGACAGCAGCCAAAAGCGACATGTCCTGGACAGATGTCGGAAGAGGGGGAAAATGCTCATCGCTTCTTGGAACTAACCGAAACCCTAAAGGTGCAACTCTTTGCCAGCAGTCTTCACATGATCCCTTTCAAGGCGCTCGCATGGTTCTCATCGCGACATCTACTTACAGAACGGCCTGATAAACCCAGTTCCAAAATGCAGCGGCACCTGCCCGTCGCTCTCACTGCGCATGCTAGGCATCACACAAGGGAGCTGCTTGCTCACAGCTCCTGGAACGGTGCAGACCGATGCAGACATCGGCACTGGACAATAGGAGGGTATCTGCAAAAGACCCCTCTTCCATTATGATCTCTGTGTTTGACTTGTGCGACGGGGCTTTGTGCCCATGAAGACCTCTGTGAGGTGCGTGGCAGGAGCCTGTGGCCGATTTCTCACATGCCGACGTCTGTGCTAATGGCACCGACTTAAACTTACCTTGGGTTAGTAGGGAATGGAAGAATGGTAGTAATAGTAGTTATAATTGTACCCCATTCCTCCATTCCCTAGTAACCCAAGGTAAGTAAACCGTGTGCACGGGACGGGTAGCTGTGCGACCAACGATGGCTACGGAGATCCTCTTTCTGGCTCGCACAGCTCAACAAACCCCTGCGTCGTTTGGAGCCTCTTCGCCGGTCAGATGTTCCCGTCATTAGATTGGAAATCGAAGGGGCCATGAACCAGCTGCTCTTTAGAATTCCGACTGCCAGAGATCATCCAAACACCTGGCTCGGGTGGATTCTCAAGTCTCGGTGCATTGCTGAATGAAAGCTAGCTGCAACCTGCAAGATCGTCGGAAGCTGCAGCTCACACAGTTCAGTTTAAACCAACTCCGACGCAGGCTGCACCTTCGCTGCGAGATGTCTCGAACTGCACGAACTAAGAAGACCCAGATCAACCGGATGCTCTTGGTGTCATGCACATCCTGCACGCACGGGGAACGGCTTTCGCAACTCAGCACGTTTCAGTCTTCCACAGCTGCCAAGCAAAGAGGCCGTGCCTTTTGCGGGCGGTTCTGTATGCAACGGCCTTCGCTTTGCCGACCGCAGCTACGACGGCAGCTTGCATCTGCCAAGCCCTGCAAAGCCGGCATTGCCCAAGTGCACGCGTCAATGGTGAACGTCCCACATCCAAGCAGAAGGCAACAACATGAGCCACCTGCTCCTGCGTCAACATGATTGACAGAAGACGAGCCGGGTGGTCACTCTCGTCAGGTGCAGGAGCCCACCTTGTCACCTCCACATCCCCCAAGTTCTGCCGGACTCATCTACTTACAGCACAGCCTGACGGCCCCGGTACCACAAGCAATTGGGACCTGTTGCTCTAACTGCGCATGCATTGTGTCCAATGGTCCGCTTGCTAGGAGCTGCTGCAGCAGTGACCACGAAAGCGGCCATGCACGTCCATTCTGGACGGTATAGTGGGGTATCTGCAAAGGACCACGCTACCCGTACGTTCACCATATAGTCTTGCACGACAGGCTCTAGCGAACTACTGCGCGCTCCCGTTGACTGCCTCATTGCTTAGGCTCCCGTGCTCATCCCCAGAAGACATGGATGAAATCTGCGGTGGAAGTTGGCCGCGGTTGTATGCTCTTGCCTCACATGTCCGTATCTCGTGTGATGTTACTTGCTTGGCCCAAGTGTAGAGAGGAGTCACTGCTACAGCGATCCCCTTCCTAGCTCGCACTTCGCATGTCTTAAGAGACCCGCCCCGAAGAATCGCCGGTCAGATGTTCCCGTCATCAGATTGGCAATCGAAGGGGCCATGAACCAGCTGCTCTTTAGAATTCCGACTGCCAGAGATCATCCAAACACCTGGCTCGGGTGGATTCTCAAGTCTCGGTGCATTGCTGAATGAAAGCTAGCTGCAACCTGCAAGATCGTCGGAAGCTGCAGCTCACACAGTTCGGTTTAAACCAACTCCGACGCAAGCTGCAAATTCGCTGCGAGATGTCTCCAACCGCAAGAACTAACAAGACCCAGATCAACCGGATGCTCTTGGCGTCATGCACATCCTGCATGCACGGGGAACGGCTTTCGCAACTCAGCACGTTTCAGTCTTCCACAGCTGCCAAGCAAAGAGGCCGTGCCTTTTGCGGGCGGTTCTGTATGCAACGGCCTTCGCTTTGCCGACCGCAGCTACGACGGCAGCTTGCATCTGCCAAGCCCTGCAAAGCCGGCATTGCCCAAGTGCATGCGTCAATGGTGAACGTCCCACATCCAAGCAGAAGGCAACAACATGAGCCA